TATTGACGCACCTTTAAAAAGTGCCCATGAGGGACTTAAAGCTCTTGTAGAATGTGCTGTTACACATTTATGTTTATCTTCATAAGCCTCTTGAATAGTTTTAACAATATATGAAGCCAAAGTTTGTGAAGAAGCTTAAGAATGAGGTACATTTATACAAATAAACTTGTTTCATCTTTACCTTTAGAACGTCTGAAGGATTCAGCTCTTTCAAGATAGATAGCAAGTGCTCTTTTAGAATCAAGTAATTTGATTGTCTTGAAAGCTGGTACTTTTGCTGATGAATGACCAGGTCTATCCTGTTTAGCAAAACCTTGTCTGATGAAAGTTACCCCATCTGTCTTCATATTAACGCTTGAAGATCGCTGGCTCTCCTGAATGTCGTGATAGCTATAAGAAAACAACTTTATATGTTAAAAAATTAATTGATGTTTTTCTCAAAGGTTCAAAAGGATATTTTTGTAGCGCACTAAGAACTTTAGGCAAATCCCATTGAGGCAACAACTTTTTAGAGCAGGTCTTAAATTGAATACTCCTTTTAATAATCTGATAACATACGGATGTTGACCAATAGGAGTGTTATCTACTGGAGGTAAAACTGCAGATTACATAGAGCGGTAACCTATTATTTATTGTACAGATCTGATAAAAACTCAGTACAATTATTTAAGGATGCTGTGAAGGAGTCAATGTTCTTTTCACGACACCATATCATAAATTGTCTAAATTTACTGGAGTAATCTTTCTGAGTGCCAGTTCTCCAGCTGGCTTAACTGATTTTGAAAAACCTTTTTCTCTAAACTGTCTGTCGATAGCAACCATGCAGTCAGTTTCAGAACACCTGGATTTGGATGACATATCTGAGATTTTGGTTGTTGTAACAGATTTGTAACAAATGGAATACATAACGTTTGAGCTACCGACAGATTCAATAACTGTGGAAACCATGGCCAGAATGGAGTTATTAGAATCAGTTTGCAATGAAACTGTTTCATATTATGAAGAACTCGGGAAATGAGACAAATTTGGGGATTGGGGGGGAAAGAATAAGCATACATGTTCTCCCATTAAACTGAGAGAGCATCTATTGCATATGCTTCTTGGTGTGGAATCCAGGCACAGAATATCTGAGTTTTCCGATTGAGGGCTGATGCAAAAAGGTCTATGCTCGGAACACCCCAAATTTGAAATATTGTTTGAACAACTGAATGATTCAGACTCCATTATGTTGGTTGAATTTTCATTCGACTTAGACTAACCACCACTGAAGGTGACCTGTCAAATGCTTTGTAACTGGTATTTTGAAATTTAGATCCCATAGAACTGGGTCGCCAATAATGAAGTAGATGTAATTGCACTGGACGCATTAATAACCTGGCATTCGGAACAAGTTCTATACATGATGCCATCAAACCCAGAATCTGCAACAGAATCTTGGCTGTGACCAACTGTTGTTTCTGAATTGCCAGAATAAACTGCACAATTTTGTGATGTCTTTCTCGTGTCGGAGTTACTGTTCACCTTTCTATACTGCAACAGCCCCCCTTTATCAGTAATTTTCTGAAATGGACACAGTTGAGATTTTTTGACATTTATTATAAAGCATAGCTGCATGAGAAGATCCACCAATCTCGATAGATTTTGAACAAGCTGTATTTTGACTGCATATAGCCCCAGCCAATCGTCCAAATAAACTGCTAGACGAAACCCCCACTGTTGTCTATATAAGCTACTTTTATTGTCACCAGCTTGGTGAAAGTTCGAGGTGCAGACATTGGGCCAAATGGTAGTGCTCGAAATCGATATGACTTGCCCTGAACAGAAAAACTCAGGTATTTCCTGTGAGGGTAATAGATAGGGATGTGCATGTATGCATCGCTCAAATCTATCGAAATTGCATAATATCCTTTCTGAACCAAATTTAGAACAGATTTTAGAGACATCATTTTGAAATGATGGTGTTTCAGATACCTGTTTAGGAGCTTTAAATTTATAACTGGCCTTAGATCTCCAGTTTTCTTTGGAACAAGAAAACCCGTACTGTAAAAACCATGTTTGACCTAGTCTGGAGGTATTTCTTCTATAGCATGTTTTCTTATTAATGTATCTACCTTCTGCATTATAATATCTAATTGTTTCCAATACCCCATTGAACTTTGGAATTTCTACAAATTCTAACTTGTAACCTTCCATTATTATATCTAGGACCCATTGGTCTTCTGTTATTTCTAACCATTTTGGATAAAACTGTTTTAGACTGCCCCAAACAGGTATCTGTGGATGAATCATTAACAATTCAGGTTGATTTGTTACGAAAAGTACTACTTACATTAGATGCTTTAGGCTGAGATTTACTTCTTTTGGACCTCTGTGGCTGTCTGTAGCTTGGAAATTCACCCCTGGCAGGACGACTTTCAAAAGTCTGATTAGGCAACCGTGGTCCTTTTCACTGATTTGAAGAGGTAGAATCTGGAAACCTCCTCTTGCGACCTATCTCTGGTAAAAGATCCGACAATTGAGAATTCATCTCTTTCCTATCTGTTAACTTCTTTTCCATACCATCCCCAAACAATGCTGTATAGGGCAAAGGAAGTGTCCATAAATGATCCTTTATGTCTCTAAGATCATTTAGGCCTGTGTCAGCTAAAGCTGTTTTTCTTCTTACTTAGTGGTGAAAATCACCACAACGAGAAATTTGCTCCAATGACTTTGTAGACATCGAAAAGATATCTCTAACACACTGTATGATTTTGTCTACATTTAGAGAATTCTCCTGTAAACGACAATAAATTTCCCAACGCCTGTTGTATGTATAAACTAATAATAATGCCCATACGTGCTGCACATTGACCTTGGATTGCTATCTTTTCAAGAGCTTTGAGAGGTTGTGAATGCAGAGATTGAGTCTTCGAGGCTGCTTTACTACCATATTTCTTCATCAACAGTGATTCTACTATGGTATCAAGACTTGGAACTTGCAACAACTCTTCTGCAGAGTCACATACAGGAAATGTTGACTTATAAATGTCTTTATAAGCTGAAATTCTAGAAGGGTCTGAACTACGCCATGACTCCTTAAGTACTATAACTTTACTGTCATCAATAAACAACCCTGAAGTATCTTTGTCTGATTAAGTAAGTGCATCTTCACCAAACATTTGTGCTAACAGTTTCTCAGTCTTAGAACTGTATTTAATAAACCTATCTGGCTGTGGGATGCCATCAGCGTCTACAATTTCAACACTGGAATGAGACCGGGCGTCCTCGTCTGAGTCGATGCCTAATTCAGAACGCTCCCTTTGTCGTGGTTGCAAAGAGAGAACATTTACATATTTACATATCGTAATCCCTATTCAATGAGTTAGTAAGAGGTAACAAGGGTCTACTACCACCTGGAGCGGTGTAATCCCTCAATGGCACAGGTCTACTCTCACCAGAAGTGAAGCAGAAGTACTCGGTCTCTGCAAGACAGTTTTCGAATTTTTCTTGGTCATAAACCAAAGAGCTGATAAAATTTAGCATGTAAAGAAGAAACTTCACCTTTAAAATCGGTAACATCTTTACGTAAAGAATCTAAATCTTTCTTACTCGCACGTGGTGTGCGCTTCTTCGCCGAAGATGACAAACCGGAAGTTCTAGAAACTGAACTTTCCGATAAATTTTCTTTTTCACGCCAAGAACAAAGTGGGGTCCTGTTGTACTTCAACAGAGCGTCTAATGATCATGTGATGATCAGTGTAGTTAGACGCTTGATTTTTTTATTAGGCGGATTGAACGTAATATGCGGAGATAAATTATAATGTAATGTATTATCAGGTGAGTATAAATCACGAATTGAAATCTGTAATTTTAGTTTCATCTATTCTGATAATATTTTCAGTCGCGTCTATATGTACATGATTTTGTTTTTGGCATGGCAAGCTAAAATGCAAACCATTGTGATCAGAAAACTTATTTGGTAAAAGTATTTTAAAATCCGAAATATATTCCATATAAGAAGCATGTACAAGTAAATATTTAACCGTCGGGCTACCCCTTGTCGAATGAAAGGTAAAATCACTGATACATAGGTCATTATGCAAACGAGAATTGCCTATAATAAAAGACGTGCTTTGACAAAACTCAAACAAGGGTTTACTTGCATTATCAACAATATTATCGCGTGAAACGCGCAGTGGTATATTTGAGCAATTAAACAGAGTTGTCATAAATGCATCATTGTCAAGATATTGATCATAATTCAGGATATCATTTTAATTAAGGTCACTGAAAATAAAACATTTGCCTTTTGATTTATATATCTCGATACCCGACTCAATTTCTTAAAAAAACGAAATCTGAGTCAATTACAGAAGAATTACTTGGGGGAATATATGTACAATATAAATATACATTTTCTAAAAAATTAAACAATTCTTTGGATAATTCCAACCAAATAATAGTACGTATATATTTATCAAGGGATAGCTTATAATAAACTGAAATTAAAACAACAAATTATGTGTACAAATACCTGAAGTCCAAATATAAATGTAAAATTCAAAAATTTTTTATTGATCCCCGGAAAGAAACCCTTTTTGAATAGCACAGTTAAAACCAAAATTAAATCCCAAAAACATTTAGAATAAAAATTCCCCCCAATAAAAAAACCACAAAAATAATTTTTAACTATTTTTAAAATAATCCAAGCTCCCAAATTAATACAATTCTTTGGGAAAAATTTCCAAATAATTAATTAGGGACTGATGACTTAAAATGAAGCGATTTCTTAAAATAAAGGTAGAAAAATCCACTTGTATATCTTTACGCACATTACCGGGTTTTATTACTATAAAGTAATGATATATTGCAATTCAAATAATGATCCAACAATTTTTTAAATAATGCAGAGTTTTCTACCGTAAGAAATATTAAGTCATAATAGCTCAATTTTAAAAATCTAGGGAAAAACGATTATTGCGAAACCAATGGACATCATGAAATTATTTGAATGTCCTTCTGACTTCTCTAATTAACATAATCTTGTCCTTTGCCATCAAACCATCTCTAAGTATTCTATTGTTCCGATATAGTTTATTACCTATATTTTTTGTCCTTCTTGTCAAGTTTTTGAGAGTCAATTTGTTCAGTAAACGCCTTTGTTTGTATCCCGATACGCCTGGAGGTTTGCATTCCAACTCCATATTTCTTCTCCTTCAGTCGTTTTTTTATTCCTCGTCATAGGATTCGAACCGTATCTATTCCTGTTCTTTAAAGTTATGGAATTTAGCTATGATGGGGCGGTGTTTCATTGCTCTAGCATCACCAAGTCGTTCAATGACCATTTGTGTGTGATCAATATGTAGTTCGTCTGCTATGAATCCTCTAACTAAATGCTCGCACTGGTCGGTTTCAGCGGCCTTTCCATTCTTTGGCAGTTCCGGTAAAATATCGGATTATTCTGCATGGATCTAGGTCCCAAATTTTTACTTGAAATTTGATTCCTTTTAATTTATGTTCTTGTACAGTAGAGTCCAGATTTTCGCATTTATTTTGAAGCTTATTGACTTGTTGTTTGTATTTTGCTTTTTTATCATCATACTCCAAGAAATTGAAGAGATTCACTGGCTTCTCCACTTTTAGTCTCTAGAGTTTTTATTTTGGTTTCCACTGTCGCGGTTCTCACATTTATAAGATTAATTGCTTGTTGTAGGGACTCAATTTTCGGCATAAACTCTTCTTTTTGCCTGACGTCTTCAATTAGTATTCGAGCCCATTCTGGTAGCGTAGACGGAACCGGTGATTGAAATTGATGTGTTTGATGCATCATTATATTGTTCCATAGGTAGAGCAGGAGAAGCACATTGATTTGCACTCACCACTGTTTAAAAGTCCAGTATAATGTGTGCTCATTCCGCTCTGTGCACACAGGTAATGGCTACCTATGTCCACTCCAGGTGACCCGCTTGCTTTTCGTTTTGCAGCCCGCTTTAGCTTCCTTTTTTGACGTTTTGTCAAACTTTGTTACGCACTCATTAGGTATGATTGTTATTAGTCCTTTTGGTAACAAAAATTACGAATATCGATGTCCAATTAAGGAAAAGCTTCGAAAAACCAGGAGAGAAATAACACATGTTCTCACACTTTACACATCACGTGATATAATACAACCGGAAAAAGTTTCTAACAAAAACAGCCGCCTCCAGCACAATGTGCAAGTGTTAACAAATTAGAAAATAAATTTGGAAGGTTTAACATTGATTTTTAGCAAGTTACTTCACATAAAAAGGAAAACCAGTGTTAAACGGATCAGCAAAACTGTTTACATTTTGAACGGAGTCAGAACTATGCAAAAACGAAGAAATCAAGGCGAAACCCATAGATAAGGCAAGTTGAGCTGAATATTTAAACTGATTTATACGGGAAGCCGGCAAAATCTGCAAAACTATTAATTGTTTATATAGAAAAAGATAACATAACGGAAGGCTTGCACTTTCAAGTACCGCCCAATCAAACCTAGTCTGCAAAATTTTCAATGTTGCCGTTATGGACAGTCTTTGGTAAATCTATTTCATTTATTTCATTATACATCTGTATCCATAAAATAGGTAGCGATATCATTTTCTACAACAAAAGGATATTTTGTCTTGCAGTTAATATGACCCATAAGCTAAAATATATACTTCCCTAATGCAGATAAATAGAATGATTTTAAAGAACATACAATGTCAGTTAATCTATTTATAACAAGTCTTAATTGTTTACTTTTATATGCATAGACAGCTTGTCAACATCTATCACTTTTCTGTTCTTTCTTCTGTTCTTCTTACCGTGTTTTACCACTTTATGTTCCACATGGACTGGCCAATTTGTGTCCGAAGTTAGTTCTTCTCTTTGAAAATCTAGACCAGAAGCATACTCTCTTCTTAGATGTTTAAATGTAGGTGGCGGTGGAATAGCCTGTATGATCGATTTTTTTTGCAACATTAAGGTCTTGGAAAGTAAATTTATCATCTTGTTGCTTAAATCATCTACTTCTACTAACGTAAATTCTTTGAAGTTTGAATTTCGGTAGACAGAATTAAGAACTTGTTCGTGTTGTTCCAATTCCAGTTCAGCTTTTCTTTTCATAAGATATAAGTGTTCTTCATTTCCAAACAATTTTGTGGACTTCAAATTTTCCTTTGAGTGTAGAAGATTGTCTTCAAACATTTCGATATCTGATAATTGAGAATTGGATCGTTCAATACTTGCTCGATGCTTAGCTTTGAGGGTGCTCATTATGTTTTCTACAAAAGTGTTATAAGCATCATCAAATCCTTTCTTTATTTTATGTAACTGAGTTTTAATCACCCTCTCAGACGCGAACATATCTGCTTTGCGATTAAAGTGATATAGTTTCAGTCTTTTGATGTATTCCATTTTTTCACTTATGTTATTTTCGAGACTTTGTAAACTCTCAGTTGACACTTTGCAATCCGCTAATGATACTAACTCTTGGCATTTTCTATGGGTCACGATGGCGCATTCATTACAACACGGATGATCATGGTCTGTGCAAACGTATTTCACTTCACACTGTGGATGATCAATGCATTTTGTAAGACTGGTTACGCATTCAATTTTTTTAATATCTAATAACTCATCATCCACTTCAATGAGTTTGTGATGACTAGTAAATTTGTTTGTAAGATGGTGTCTTCTGCATGTTGAACACATCAACTCGCGACATTCTAAGCAGTACATAGTCGCAGGTTGGTTTTCTACATTTCGAAGACATGGTACACAGAATTTTGAAGACGCAGCAGATTTATAGTTTATATCTGACTGATCCGAAACAGTAGTTGACCCAAAAGTACATAAATCCCGATCCTTAGTATGAGGTTCTGCTTTAATTTGTATTTCGTCTTTCTGAGAAAACACATTTTTCATTTTGTCTTTTGTACTATTTTTATTTGATTTCTGAATACACCAGTCCATTGTTTTGCATTTACCAGGCACTCTATCAGAAGTTATTTCAACGTTATCACTGTTCTTATTACCTTCACTGTTTAATGGTTTCTTCATTTCGTCGCTTTCAGTGTTATTTGATTTATAATTTTTATTTCTCTGTTTCTGTGCAAGTAGAAGCAATTCGTAATTTACCGGAAATCTGCTAATCCAGATCCCAGCTCGTGAAATATTATTTGTATCAACTTTTGTGTCTTCTTTGCATGAAGGACAACAAAAATTTTCATTTTCCTCAATATCTTCGGCATACTTAACTAAACACAAATGACAAAATGAGTGTGAACATGGCAATGAGCGTGGTCTCAAAAATATATCCAAGCAAATAGGACAATGTAATTCCTCTTCCAAACCGGGCTGCCCTCCATAGGTTTCCATTTTACTTTGGCAGTTTAGCAAATATTCTCAACACTTTTTTGCGGTATTGATCCTTCAGTTTTTCTTAAAGATTATATTTAGCTTTACATAATGAAGTTTAATTTTCTGAAAACGATATATTTGTGTACTAAACAAAGTTGAATGTTCATGTATAATTGTTAATAAATTCCCATTTCATCAGACCAAAGACAAGTGAGTATGTAACTGTATGATTAACAAATAATATGTAAGCTCTTTTAGGTCGCCTCTCTTTGAAGGACTAAAGAAGGGATAGAGCCTATAAAAATGTCAGTCACCTTGGTCTTTTCATGTTAAATACAATAAAACGGGACGCCCAAAAGGGCAAAATTGAATATGTTGCTGGTTTGGTTTGATTGAGTGTATTCCATGTATTCAATTACAACAGGTTTAATCCGTTTTTTATGGTTATTATTTGGAAATGCTATCAATGAATGTCGCCCTTCCTTGTTGATTCTTGTTTATACGTGTTTTACCTTAGTCAGACATTGAATTGTATCGACTGCAAACCATTCGTCAAATATTTTTCGTAATTTTCTAAATGTGTTTGTAGAGGCAAGAATTGATAGAAAGACATTGACGGTACTTGTAGTTAGTCACTTTCAGAAACATTGGTAATTGCTTGTTAGTTATACAGAAAATCAAGTTAGTTAGACCGGTCGGCGAGATATGACCAAAAATGAGCCGTGTCACGACAAAACCAACATAATGGGTTTGCGACCAGCATGGATACCAGCCTGCGCATCCGCGCAGTCTGATCAGGATCCATGCTGTTCGCTTACCAACCCTTTTACAAGCCGAGAAACTGATAGCGAACAGCATGGATCCTGATCAGACTGCGTGGATGCGCAGGCTGGTCTGGATCCATGCTGGTCGCAAACCCACTATGTTGGTTTTGTCATGACACGGCTCAAATGTGTTTAAAATGGCGTTAAACCCAATTTACAAATTTTTACAACAAAATATACAAACATTTTTTTTACTTGATTCTGAGGGATCACACTTTTATAAAAGTTTATTTTCAGTGTTACACAATCGTTTGGAAATGCTATTGTATTGTGTCTCGCACATATTATTGACTTTAATGCAGCAATTACTAGTAAAAGTTCGGCGCGTAATAATCTTATCTCAAGGTCATATCTTCAAAATTATAAGGCATATAACTAAACGATTTATATATAAATTTTGTAAAGACCCAGGAGTTATTGAGTTTTTAAGTAGGCCATTACTTTGCTGCAGTATTGATCTTTAAGGTGTTTTTTAGGTATAAGGTTTCTTTACATAAGGAAGTTAAATTTTCCGAAAACAATGTAAAAATGTGCTTAAGTACGGTGTTCCTTTGGGGGAAATCGTTTCTTTAAATCGGCAAACCAAAAAAAACAAAAACCAGTACGCACATGTGACGGAACGAAACGCCGAAGAGACGAAACGATACACCGAAGCGTCAGTGTAAACAGTAGAAAATCTTGTCAAAATGCAAAGAAGCGATAAGACAATGCACTTTGGTGTATCGCCTCATTGTCTCGTCGAATCATTTGCTTCCTTTGTGTTAAGTCGATGGCCCCAATGGTACACTGTATTAAATCAGTGTTTAAACATTTCAGGCCATAATTCTATAAGTCAAAAACATACTTATTCATACATTTTTGGTATTGCATTGCTTTTGTCACACTTTGATGGTACTATTTTGAAAACGATGTTGAACGTGCTACAGTGCAATTTAGTACGACGCCAATACCTTTTAGCTCACCTCAGGACAAATTGAGCTTTTATGTTCGCATGATGAACACTTGCTGGCTTTCTTCAAAAATTATTTAATTAGTACATACATGGGTAAAAAAAATAGTTCCTACACAAGTTATATAAATGGTTCTAGTCTGGTGCATATATGTAGTTCACAGGAGGTGAAAAACTATTTGAAATATTAAATCTTTACTGCTCAAGAGAAACATTTGCCATGACTTAGATCTGTCGCATGTAGTATAAAATTGAAGCTAGGCCTCTACATAAAATGAGAAAACATGCCCCATTGTCAAAATTGGTCCCGCCCTGGGGTCACTTATCCATAGTTTTATTGTGTGAAACGGCATAATTACTAAGTTTCCGTAAACTTCAATAGAAAACACACTTAAACAGTTCTGTGTGAACTACATGGCACAGAGCTTTGATACCGGTGTTTGACATGACAAGTCTCTTTCCCATGTGACCCAATGACCTTTTTTCTGAATTAAAGAATTATGCCCTGTTTTATTTTTCTTAAATAATTAGGTAATCAATAGTATGGTGGCATATTTCTGCCACCAGATAACCATATAAATAACTAACGTAACTAGTTAACCTCTTAATTAACTAGTTAGTTATGTGGTTAACTAGTTACGTAACTAGTTAATTTTTTCAATAAATAAAAGATCATAATGGGAAATAAATGCATGTTAGTGCCTACAACTGCCATCCTTTTATTATTTTACCAGCTTAATATTAAGTGGTTAACTAGTTACGTATCTAGTTAACCACATAATTAAATGTTAGTTAAGTGATTAACTAGTTACGTAACTAGTTAACCAGTTGGCGATATTTTGGATATGTGGTAAGTGATTAACTAGTTACGTAACTAGATAACTACATAACTAACAAGTTTTTTAAGTGATTAACTAGTTACGTAACTAGTTAACCAGTTATCACTTGTCTATAAATAGCATTGTTTTGCTCCATTGCATTGATACACAGTCACACTTTAGTCATTGCAGACATTAGACGAAGCCTTTGAGTGAATTACATTTGGATTTGGAGGGAAAATAGAGGTAAATATTTATAATTTTAACAAATATATAATGATTTAAATCTATTTATAATAAGTGATAACTGTTTAACTAGTTACGTAACTAGTAAATCACTAAACTAACTAGTTAATTATGTGGTTAACTAGTTACGTAACTAGTTAACCACTTAACATTAAGCTGGTAAAATGATAAAAGGATGGCAGTTGTAGGCACTAACATGCATTTATTTTCCGTTATGATTACCATATAACTGACTAATTAATTAAGAGGTTAACTATTTACGTATCTAATTAACCTCTTAATTAACTAGTTAGTTATATGGTTATCTGGTGGCAGAAATACGCCACCATACAATAGACAGAACACATTTAAGAAAAAAAAATACTGTTTGGCTTAATTCGACAGCAAAGAGGATTATATTTGTGTGTTGTTTATAATTTATTTATTTTTGGTTATATATTTTGTTCATGCAACTAAAAGAGAATCGGCAGGTACATGAACATAATAAATATATGATACGTATAAAGCATGCGCTTATTCAGTATACACGTGAAGCATATATTTTCGAAAATTGTAGCGTTTAATTTTCTGAAACAAAGGAAACATTTGTGTGGCTTTAATCTATTTCAAGCTTATCAGATACAAGTTTATTTCTTTAAACATAATGATAATCAATACACGTTAAATCACAAACTGCATTTAAATACTGGTATGTTATCTGATCTGCGTAACACTTTATTTTGTTCATTATTTTCAGAAAATAGATCAAGGAAATCAACATTGAAAGAAAAGGAATATTTGAAAAGTGTTCTCTTGTTTTTCTATACTTATTAACGTTTTTTGCAAGACAATTATATTTTTAAAAAAGAAAAGAAGATAAAACAAGAAATGGATTTTCTACTAGTGATGTTGACTTTCTAACGTGATTTTATTGGCAATGGCAACATATGTTGGACGTATGAGAGATTGTACGGTTGAAAATCAACAAAAGGAAGATTTTATTTGTTCAATATGTTTAAATAGGTTTGAGAACCCAAGGAGTCTACCATGCTCACATTCATTTTGTCATAAATGCTTAATTCAGTGTTTAGAGAAAAATAAAAGCAATCAACGATTCTATTGTCCTTTCTGTAGAACTGAAGCAAAAGTGTACAAACGATTAAATGCAGAAGAAATGGTAGAGCAATTTCCAATGGATTTTGACTTGATAGAAAAGATGTTAACTGCTACAGCTAAGTCGTCTGACGAGGAGTCTACATCGAACTATTGCAAACCATGTTTACGGGACAAAATGTATGAACAAGCATCTGTATACTGTTGTGAATGTAGTGAAATACTCTGTAGCGACTGCAAGAAACATCATTCCAAAAATAAGCTGACAACTACACACACAGTTGTTGACATGAATGGTGATCTGGCCGAAACCAGAAAATTAAACTATGTGAAGAACTTAACAAAATGCAGTAACCATCATTTGGAGGAAGTGAAATATATATGCAAAGATCACGATCAGCTATGTTGCAACGAATGCGCTATCCTGACACACAGAAAATGCCAAACTTTACAATCAATAAGCGACTGTATTGCTTCCGGTTTTGAAAATCGTCTTCTGGAAAATATGGAAACCATGGAAAAACATGTCGTTAATATGAAACTTCACGAAGAAAAACACAGAAAGAGAGTGTGCGAATCTGAGACTTTGATTAAAGATCAACTGTTATGTATAAAAGAAGAATTTGATTATGCCTTCCGTGACTTTGAAGAGAGTGTCTTAATGCAAGTACGATCAAACTGCCTAGGTTTGAAAAAATCCATTTCTTCACAACAAATGCGTATTGATAGTTTTGAAGGAGATATCAAACGTTCCAAAGAAAAAATATCATCAGTTGAGCAATATGGTCAAGATTTGCATGTTTATCTTATGGAAAGAGCCATGGAGAAGGAGATGAAACAAAAGGAGCAGATATTACAAAGTTTGCACGAAAGTTCTAATCGTTTAGAAGTATCGTTGGCTGGCAAAGAAACTATATCTCAAAAGTTAATCACAACTTTGAAACAAAATCTGTCAATAAAAAAGATCGTTCAGTCTGAACTGCCAGATTTTCCCTTCAAAAGGTGTAATGGAAGCAAATTTCAAACAAGTGCCGGGTTTCGCGGGCATGGTAACATAAAAAAAGATTATTGGGGAGGATATAATGATTTCTGAGAAAAAAATTCTTTCAGAAATAAAATGCGAACAAGTGCATACCAGTAAATTACTACTGTCGATATAAAATTTTGTCTTTCTTTTTAGGGGGTTGTGGGACTTGATGGTCATGTTGGTTATGAGACGTTGTCAGATATAGATATGACAAGTTGAGAATACTGCAAGTATCAGTTAGTATATTTACAAGAAAAACTATAAAAAAAAATAAAAATATCTTTGCACACATACATTGAATCATAATCAGAATATTTTTTATTAAAGTTTGATATTGTTCACATTAAATGTGCTCCGAGGCAAAAGAAAAGTTTCAGATCAGTTGAACTGTATGGACATAAGGAAATTTACGTATTTGTTACACGAAAAGAGTGATTGAAAAAAGAAAATGGAATAAAACGAGCAGATATCACAAAGATTTCACTAACGTACAAATCGTAAAGTATCAGTGGCTGGAAAAGAATATGTACGTATTTTTAAACAAAATCTTTTATTTACCGAAAAGTATACGATGAGATTACCAAATAAACGAAATAAATCCCAAATTGTGTCAGACAGGACGGGACAGACAACAAAATCATGTCTACAAGTGTATTTCGAAAGCGGATGGAATGAACATAATGATAATTACTTAGGGACCATGTAATTAATCTCATAACATAAAATGGCAATGATTTGTTATGAATGTTTTGTTTTTCAAGTCAAGTTAGTTCACTTTAACTGATAGCGGATGGAAAGAGTTAATATACAACCGCCGATTGGGCCACGGAGTTAACTACTTGATCGATATATATTACGACTTAATAAAAATCTAGCGGAAAATTGACGTCCAAATCTATAAAGTTAAAAGAATTCCTGTTATACGTGAATGATCAAGTTTGTAACAAGAGGGCCAAGATGGCCCTAGTTCGCTCACCTGACCGATCGAACTCATCCGAGCAATTTCTGAGACAAGCTCCATGACCAAGTTTGATAACAATTGAGTCACAAATTTGACCTCGAGAGTGTTTACAAGGTTTTTCCCATTTTTGGGCAGTGTGACCTAGTTTTCGACCCCAGGTGACCCATATACGAACTTGACTTAGATATTATGAAAACAAACTTGCGAACCAATTTCCAGGATATTTGGACAACAACAGTAGCCACTAGAGAGTTAACAATATTTTTCTAATTTTAGCTCAGTTTTTTTTATCAGAAATGACCCCTGTTCGAAATCCTCCAAGCAATTAACTAGACAAGCATCCTGACCAAATTTGATAACAATTGAGTCAAAAATGTGACCATTAGAATGTTAACAAGGTTTTTCCATATTCAAACTTTATCTAGAAATCATGAAAACAAACTTTCAGACCAGTTTCCAGGATATTTGGATCAAAACAGTAGCCACTAGAGTGTAAAAAAAGATTTTTCTATTTTAACTACTGTGACCTAGTTTTTGACCTGAGATAACCCATATTCGAATTTGACCTAGAAATTATCAAAGTATCAGTCACTGCATCCCATATTAAACCTTAACCTAGAAGTGATCAAACCAACCTTCCTGACCAATTTCCAGAATATTTGAATGAAATCTGCAGCCGCTAGAGTGTTAACAAGATTTTTTATTTTTAGCTCCTGTGACCTAGTTTTTTACCGGAAATGACCCATATTCGAACTCGACCTAGTAATCATGAAAACAACCATCCTGACCAATTTCAAGAATATTTGGATCAAAACTGCAGCCACTAGTATGTTAACAAGATTTTTCTATTTTAGCTCCAGTGACCTAGTTTTTGACCTGAGATGAGCCATATTCAAACTTGACCTAGAAATCATCAAAACAATCTTCCTAGCCAATATCCAGAATATTTGGATTAAAACTGCAGCAACTGAAGTGTTAACAAGATTTATCTATTTTTAGCTCCTGTGACCTAGTTTTTGACCTAAGATAACCCATATTCGAATTTGACCTAGAAATTATCAAATAAAATGCCTGACCAAATGCCAGAATATTTGGATCAAAACTGCAGTCACTAGAGTGTTAACAAGATTTTTCTATTGTCAGCTCCTGTGACCTAGTTTTTGACTGGAGATGACCCATATTCGAAATTGAGCTAGAAATCGTCAAAAACCATCATCCTCACCAATTTCAAGAATATTAAGTTGGATCAAAACTGCAGCAACTAGAGTGTTAACAAGATTTTTCTATTTTTAACTCCTGCGACATGAGATGACCCATATTTAAACTTGATCTGTATTTTATTGAGACAAACATCCTGACAAAGTTTGATAATGATCCAATCAAAACTGTGACTGTTAGAGTGGTATCAACCAAAATGTTGACGACGCAAGACGCGCGACGACGGACGCCGGACATAGCCCCATCACTATACCTCACCTTGAGCACTTCGTGGTCAGGTGAACTTAAAATTAATGATATATTATAAATAATTCTATTCCATAATTTGTAGGTTCCAAGAAATCAAGACATCGGTATGAAACATAAAATAAAAAAGCCCTTTGGCAACGTGTGCGTCAGAGAGGATATACGTTATGTTTTATTTGGCAAAATAAAAGGAGGCTCGCAAGAAGTCCCTTTCAATTGACATTGAAAACAAATTAACTTTAGGGCAATTTTGGAACATATTAAGGTCCGAAACTTTTACCTATGACGTAATCAGGAACGTGATTAAAGGTTGTGATTTTGTTTTCAATAATGTATGGCCAAGTTAAAATGAATGTGTGCTCGACCTAAACGTTAGATTTATATATTCAGAACATTTAAGAAACTCACTATGGAAGTATTTTTATATAATTATATGACTGTTTAAAATACATGATATCCAGACATTAAACATATTCTACAACAGGTTCATCTTTCCGAATTATATGAGAATATATATCAAGTTAACTTAAAGAAATCCATCGCTCTTTACTCTAATGGTACAAACCAAATTTGTGTAATGTGTGTAATGATGTCACAAATGTTGCAAAATCTAGAACGTTAGTTTGGTTTACACAAAACCACACTTTGGGAAACTTATTAGTGTGTCATACAATTAAAACGCTTTTCTTAGGATTGTTTTCAAATTCGTCAAAATTTTCAGTGGTGGTGGAATAAAATGAACAGTTAAACACACCGAATTTTTGTTTTGTTCTTTTTTGTAGTTTTTGTTTTCTTTCTTTGTTTCTTTTTTATCTGTTCCAATTTGTTATTTGTATGAAATATCAATAGCATTCATTGTATTATGTATCAGATGAGAAAAAGTATATATCAACGAATCCTTTGATTTTTGAATTCTGGGTGTGTTAGCCTGTTTCAGACTATGTCCTTATCACCGAGTTCAATGCTCCACATGCCTAAAATCACGATAACAAATTTTGAATTTCATGGACGAGAATCATTGAGAATAAATAGATGGTTCTAAATACTATTTTGAGGTTTCAAACAATACTTGATATCTATCAAAAATAGTATTATCCCAGATTTTGTCAATGATAACCCGCACATAAAGATGAGGTTCAAGTTCGATAATCTGTAAAAGATTTATGGCCCGTATGTACCAATAGGTGTATTGAATTTAATAGATTTAATAATAAACCAGTAACTGACATTTGGAAGTTAAACCTATAACCTTCAAATTGTGTCCAAAATAATGCTCTGGATTAGCAGAACTATGACCATTTGGTTTATTTTTTTCATTTTACGCTTTATTTTTTAAAATTAAACCACAGGTTTTCAATCAATATGACATTGACCTTGAACATTCAAAAACGATGATTCATTAAAACAATTATTTTAATAATCTATTTGCATGAACATTTCTTAATACATGACTCAATGGTTCACTAAAATCTATAGATAATACTAGTATACAATCACAATTTTCTAACGGTTTGATATTTCATTTGGCTTGGTTCCAAGTTTAGCATTCTGTCTTATTAGGTTATTTGTATTATAAATGACAACACACAATCCACCCGAATAAAGGTTTTAAAAAATGCATTGCATTTTTAAAAATTGCAGCTAAATATTTTTAAAATGTAATACACTAAGTTATGGGCCAATTGGATTTAAGCCCAACGGAACGTTTTATATGCGCTATCTGATGTTATCTAGGTGTTGGAAAGACTATATTACAGGACTAATTCATAATTTTGAATGAAATCCTATATGACATTAAAATATAATAGTAACCACATTTGAGCCGTGTTGTTTGTACTTACGTTGGACTTTTGTTGATGACAACATTGTTGATCACCTTACAGAATGTGCTGATGAAAATCAACTGTAGGAAAACTTCCTTGTACAAAATGTTTAGGTAGTTATGTGCAACTTAAGTCTGTTACTATATGCACACTTACTTTGTCATTCTTCCTGAATTTAATGTTTTAAATGTGTTAGAAACAAACAACGATTATATTTGTAGAGCTGATAACTAAACTGACACAAGATTTATAACCGACGAAATGGTAGAGCAATTTCAAGTAAATTTTGATTTGATACAAAAGACGGATACAGATAAGTCGTCCGATGATGAATCTACATCCAACTATTGCAAACCATGTTTACGGGACAAAATGTATGAACAAGCATCTGTATACTGTTGTGAATGTAGTGAAATACTCTGTAGCGACTGCAAGAAACATCATTCCAAAAATAAACTGACAACTACACACACAGTTGTTGACATAAAGGCTGATCCGGCCGAAAGCAGAAACTTGAACTATGTGAAAAACTTATCAAAATGCAGTAACCATCAGTTGGAGGAAGTGAAATACATTTGTAAAGACCATGATCAACTATGTTGCAACGAATGCGCTATCCTGACACACAGAAAATGCCAAACTTTACAATCAATAAGCGACTGTATTGCTTCCGGTTTTGAAAATCGTCTTCTGGAAAATATGGAAACCATGGAAAAACATGTCGAAAATATGAAACTTCAAGAGGAAAAACACAGAAAGAGAGCGTACGAATCTGAGACTTTGATTAAAGATCAACTGTCACGTATTAAGACACAGTTTGATAATGCCTTTATTGATTTCGAAAAGAAAATCCTTAAGGAAGTTAGAACAAAATGCACCAGTTTGAGAAATTCCATTTCTTCACAACAATCTCGAATAGACAGTTTTGAAGCCGATTTAAAACGTTCAAAAGAAAAGATAACATCAGTTGAACAATATGGTCAGGATTTACATGCTTTTCTTATGAAAAGAGCCATGGAGAGGGAGATGAAACAGAACGAGCAGACATTACAAAGATTGCACCAAAGCTCAAATTGTGTAGAAGTATCAATGAGTGGTAAAGAATCTGTATCAAAAAATTTGACGCGTTTTTTATTAAAAAATCTTTCAGTAACAGAGAACTTTACGTCTGGACTACCAAATTTTCCGGACTTCAGACATAATCGAAATGAATATCCAACCTCTGCAAGACATGGCAGGGCAAAAAGGAAAAGTATGTTCGATTTGTTGAAAAGGAAATATTGAACAAACGCTCATAGAATCACGCAGTAAACTACCCAGTGTTACTATTTACTTACATCAATTGGAGATCTAACGCCGGCAGATTTACTAATTGAAAGTAATTCATATGACATATCTACAATTAATTTTGTAAATAATTAAAACATGAGATGTGAAAAATAATTATATTCCATCATATGACTGTTCCAAGAAAAGATGTATAATTAATATAAAAGGGGCCCTGTGGCAACATGTACGTCATTCTGAGAAGAAATAATTATGTAACTTTTACGGTAATCTTCGAACCCGATTACTGCTTCAAAATTGTAAAATAAGCCAAAATAAATGATTTACTAACAATTGTGGCGTACTGACAATCACAAGTAGACTTAATCTATTGAACTGAAAACAAATGAACGGAGTTTCTCCAGACCATTCTTGAATCATATGAAAGTCTTGCTCCAAAAAGTAAAAATCTTTACCAAAGGAAGTCTATGATATAGACATAAACGTTATGAAAGGTTGTGATTTTGATCTTCATCAAATGGTAAATGATTGTTAATTATTTTACTTTTGCAATTACTGCCGATTTTGGTAAGATATGTCCTCGATATAGACGTATGGTGCTATAATTAGACTGTGGAATAGATTTGTATATATGAGAAAAGATAAACTTTCTAAAAACTTGTTTATACTATAGTATATTATTAAAATCCTGTGAGATAAATAGACGTTAAGTGATTCTATAACAAGTAGTAATCTATTTTAAAAGATTATGATTATTATAGTGATTGACCCGTAATTGATATGGATTTTTGTATCAGAGACTTTGGTGTACATGTATTAAAAATGTTAACGAACGTCGCGTTCTTTGAGCTGCCCCGCTGTGGCGTTTATATTGTTACTGTTGGCGGTCTGAGACGGTACTGAAGGATGCCATTAAATAACATTTTGCAACAAAATAGTTGAAACACCAAACTTTGTGTAGGTATAATTCAATGAAGAAAACATGAAACTTATCAGAATTATAAATTCGTTACGGGTAATTCTGGACCATCCCTTGTAGATACAGGTACAAATATATAATAGATATATGATACTATATATCTGAGGGAACCTGATGTGCTTATTCAGTGTACACATGAAGCGAAAATAGGTGCGTTTAATTTTTCTGAAAAAGATTTTTCAGAGTCTTTAAAAAATTTATACGTTCTATTTCAGTTTATTTCCGTATTTTTTTTTTTCATTATTATTTTTTTTTTAGAACGCAATGACCTACATTTGCTTTAATTTATTTCTTATTTGAATGTAAATGTCGTGCATTTTCAAACAAGATATGTTTGTAAAACATGTATGCCCCCTATCAGCAGCCATTTAGTCATGTGATAAGGTTATTATGCATGTCTTCTGACCCAGTGATCAAACAATTAATAAGGGTTATCAAGTATCTACTGGTCATGACCTTAACCTTTGACCCCTTGACCCAAACTCAATAGGGGTCATCTGCTGGTCACGACCAATCATCATACAAAGTTTGAAGTTCCTAGGCCTAAGCGTTTTTAGTTAATTGATCGGAAACCGTTTTTACCTACAAGGTCAATGTGACCTTTGACCTTTGACCCCAAAATCAATAGGTCATCTGCTGGTCATGACCAATCACCATACCAAGTTTGAAGTTCCTAGGCCTAAAGGTTCTTTATTTATTGATAGGAAACCGTTTTTAACATACAAGGTCAATGTGACTTGACCTTTGACCCAAAATCAATAGGGGTCATCTGCTGGTCATGACCAATCACCATGCCAAGTTTGAAGTTCCTAGGCCGAAGCATTCTTTAGTTATTGATCAGAAACCGTTTTTACTTTACAATGTCAATGTGACCTTGACCTTTGACCCCTTGATCCCAAAATCAATAGGGGTAATCTGCTGGTCATGACAAATCACCAGACCAAGTTTGAAGTTCCTAGGCCTAAGCGTTCTTTAGTTATTGATCAGAAAAACCGTTTTTTACTTACAAGGTCAATGTGACCTTGACCTTTGACCCCTTGACCCAAAACTCAATAGGGGTCATCTGCTGGTCACGACCAACCATCATACAAAGTTTGAAGTTCCTAGGCCTAAGCGTTTTTAGTTTATTGATCTGAAACCATTTTTTACCTACAAGGTCAATGTGACCTTGACCTTTGACCCCTTGACCCCAAAATCAATAGGGGTCATCTGCTGGCCATGACCAATCACCATGCCAAGTTTGAAGTTCCTAGGCCGAAGCGTTCTTTAGTTATTGATCAGAAACCGTTTTTACTTACAATGTCAATGTGACCTTGACCTTTGACCCCTTGATCCCAAAATCAATAGAGGTCATCTGCTAGTCATGACAAATCACCATACCAAGTTTGAAGTTCCTAGGCCTAGGCGTTCTTTAGTTATTGATCAGAAACCGTTTTTACATACAAGGTCAATGTGACCTTGACCTTTGACCCCTTAACCACAAAATCAATAGGGGTCATCTGCTGGATATAACCAATCACCATACCAAGTTTGAAGTTCCTAGGCCTAGGGGTTCTTTTGTTATAGATCAGAAAATGTTTTTACCCAAGAGGTTAATGTGACCTTGACCTTTGACCCCTTGACCCCAAAATCTATAGGTCATCTGCTGGTCATGACCAATCACCATACCAAGTTTGAAGTTCCTAGGCCTAAGGGTTCTATAGTTATTGATCGGAAACCATTTTTACCTACAAGGTCAATGTGACCTTGACCTTTGACCCCTTAACCCCAAAATCAAAAGGGGTATTCTCCTGGTCATAACCAATCACCATTCCAAGTTTGAAGTTCCTAGGCCTAAGGGTTCTTTTGTTATTGATCGGAAACCGTTTTTACCCAAGAGGTCAATGTGACCTTGACCTTAGACCCCTTGACCCAAAATCAATAGGGGTCATCTACTGATCATGACCAATCACCATACCAAGTTTGAAGTTCCTAGGCCTTAAAGTTCTTTAGTTATTGATCGGAAACCGTTTTTGCTTACAAGGTCAATGTGACCTTGACCTTTGACCCTTGACCCAAAATCATATAGGGGACATCTACTGATCATGACCAATCACCATACCAAGTTTGAAGTTCCTAGGCCTTAAGGTTCTTTAGTTATTGATCGGAAACCGTTTTTTGCTTACAAAGTCAATGTGACCTTGACCTTTGATCCCCTTGACCCCAAAATCAATAGGGGTCATCTACTGATCATGACCAATCACCATACCAAGTTTGAAAGTTCCTAGGCCTTAAGGTTCTTTAGTTATTGATCGGAAACCGTTTTTGCTTACAAGGTCAATGTGACCTTGACCTTTGACCCCTTGACCCCAAAATCTATAGGGGTCATCTACTGGTCATGACCAATCACCATACCAAGTTTGAAGTTCCTAGGCCTAAGGGTTCTTTAGTTATCACTCGGAAACCATTTGGTCTACGGACCGACGGACCGACAAGTGCAAAGCAATATACCCCCTTTTCTTCGAAATGGGGGCATAATAAACCAGAGCTTTAATATTTTCTTAAATGATCATTAATTGTGTCAAGGTCTTTACCTGTTATATTAATGCATATTTATCTATTCATATTCTCTCTTTGCAAGGTAGTCATGTTTGCTTTAACGCTAGTCAATACACTGTGTATTACCTGGCTCTGGGACGTATGTCCCAGCCTGGCTGTGTAAACAATCTGCATGATTTCAATCATGTGACACTTTTGTTTTTATTTTCAGAAAATTGTCAAGATCAAAATTATCAACCTTGAAAAGGGGAATATTAAAAAGTGATCATTTTTATTCACGTGTTTACAAGACAAAAGAAAGGGAGAAAAAAAAGAAATGTATTTTCTACCGCGTTGTTTGATTCAGTGATATTGACTTTCTAAGGTGAATTCATTGGCAAAGGCAACATACGTTGGACACATTAGAGATTGTACGGGTGAAGATCAACAAGAGGAAGATTTTATTTGATCAGTATTAACAGAGTATGAGAACCTTAGGATTATATCATGTTCACATTCATTTTGTCACAAATGCTTAATTCAGTGTTTAGAGAAAAATAAAAACAACCAACGATTCCATTGCCCTTTCTGTAGAACTGATGCAAAAGTTTACATACGATTAAAGGCCGAAGAAATGGTAGAGCAATTTCCAATGGATTTTGACTTGATAGAAAAGATGTTAACTGCTACAGATAAGTCGTCTGACGAGGAGTCTACATCCAACTATTGCAAACCATGTTTACGGGACAAAATGTATGAACAAGCATCTGTATATTGTTGTGAATGTAGTGAAATACTCTGTAGCGACTGCAAGAAACATCATTCCAAAAATAAACTGACAACTACATACACAGTTGTTGACATGAATGGTGATCCCCCCGAAACCAGAAAATTAAACTATGTGAAAAACTTAACAAAATGCACGAAACATCAGTTGGAGGAAGTGAAATACATTTGCAAAGACCACGATCAATTATGTTGTAACGAATGTGCTATCTTGACGCATAGAAAATGCCAGTCTTTACAGTCAATAAACGACTGCATTGCTTCCGGTTTTGAAAAGCGTCATCTGGAAAATATGGAACCCATGGAAAAACATGTTGAAAATATGAAACTTCACGAAGAAAAACACAAAAAGAGAGTGTGCGAATCTGAGACTTTGATTAAACATCAACTGCTACGTATTAAGTCAGAGTTTGATAATGCCTTTATTGATTTCGAAAAGAAAATCCTTAAAGAAGTAAGAACAAAATGCACCAATTCGAGACATTCCATTTCTTCACAACAATCTCGAATATACAGTTTTGAAGCGCCGATTTAAAACGTTCAAAAGAAAAGATAACATCAGTTGAACAATATGGTCAAGATTTGCATGCTTTTCTTATGAAAAGAGCGATGGAAAGGGAGATGCAGCAGAACGAGCAGACATTACAAAGATTGCACCAAAGCACAAATCGTGTAGAAGTATCATTGACTGGCAAAGAATCTATATCTAGAAAGTTTGGCGCGTTTTTTAAAGAAAATATTTCAGTAACCGAGAACTACACGTCTGAACTACCAAATTATCCGAAGTTTTATCGAAAAATATACCAACACCCTAGAATGTATAAATATAATTGAATCATGAGATATGAAAAATAATTATATTCCATCATAATTTATCATGACTGTTCCAAGAAAACAAGATAAACATAAAAAGGGGCCCTGGGGCAACGTGTATGTCATTCTGAGAAGAAATTATAATGTTACTTTTATGGTAATCTTCGAACCCGATTACTGCTTCAAAATTGTAAAATAAGCCAAAATAAATGATTTTACAAACAATTGAGGCGTACTTAAAATCACAAGAAGACTTAAACTATTGAATTGAAAACACATGAACTGAGTTTCCCCAGACCATTATTCTACCATATGAAAGTCTTGCTCAAAAACGTAAAACTCTTTACCAAAGGAAGTTTATGATACAGACATAAACGTTATGAAAGGTTGTGGTTTTGATCTTAATAAAATGATATATGATTGTTTGTTATTTTACTTTTGCAATTACTGCCGATTTTGGTAAGATATGTGTTCGGTATAGACGTATGTTGCTATAATTATACTGTGGAATAGACTTGTATATATGAATAAAGTTAAACTTACTAAAAACTTGTTTATATATGATTAAAATACTGTGAGATAAACAGGCGTTAAGCAAATTCTACAACAATTAGTAATTTATTTCACATGAATTATGATTATGATAGTGATTGGCCTGTAATTGATATTGAAGAATGTATAGGATAAAATGTACAAACTACTTTAATTATAAAAAGACTGCCCATCTCTTTTAAAAACAAGAGGGCCATGATAGCCCTAATATCACTCATGATTATCGAGGCTCTGAATTAATATTGTTAGCAATGCATGACAGGCATATAAAATGCCATTAACTTAAACTGATATCATAACATTCATATCTGCACCTGAAATAGTGCAAAAGTTCATTAGGTTTTTCCATTTATGCCTTTTAAGTTTTTATATGCTGTGACCTATTTTTGACCCCAGATGGCCCATATTCAAACTTGAGCTAGAAATCATACAAACAACCTTTCTGACCAATTTCCAGGATATTTGGGCTAAAACTGTAACCTCTAAGTGATAAAGTTTTTTTCCCATTTTTGTCTGTGTATTGGATGACCCATGTTCAAACTTGAGCTAGACATCATTAAAACAACCTTTCTGACAAATTTTCAGGATATTAGGGCTGAAAATATTTCCCTCTAGAATGTAAACAATGATTTTCCATAATTAAATAATCAGACTTTGTGTTGTCAATGATTTGATTTGATTGATTGGGTTTTACGTCACATCGACACAGTATAGGTCATATCGCGACGTTCCAGCTTTACTGGTGGAGGAAGACCTCAGGTGCCCCTCCGTGCATTAAGCTAGCTGGATAGCTTCCTCACATGAAAGAATCCAAGTCCCTGTCGGGATTCAAACCCACAGCGGTGAGGGGCAAGTGGTTTGAAGTCAATGACCTTAACCACTCGGCCACGGACGCCCCGTGTTGTCAATGTCTTATCAGCATAATTCAACAAACTGTGATACAAGTGTTGTCATAAGTGTTATTTTGTTCAAGAATCAAAACCGTACATCAAATAATAGTCAAATTTCAATTAATTGACCTTGACAGTTAAGGTCAAGGTCATATTTGAATACAGGTTTTGTCATAAAAGTTCTTTGTCTAAGTGTAAATCAAATCCATAAATTAATTGTGGCAAAATTCACTAATTTGACCTTGTGAAGGTCAAATTAAGGTAAAAGTCAAATTCAATTAAATTTCCTTTAATATCATGTCCCAAGGATTGTTGTGCACAAATGAAGACAATACATTCATAAATTACAAAATGTCAATTATAGCAAAAACTGTTACATTACAATAATTTGACCTTAAAGGTCAAGGGCAATGATGAGAGAAGGTTATTGTCAATTTGATTATCTTAAAGGTCTTGTCCCAAGGACCAATGTGTCCAAGTAAGAAGAACATCTATTTATAAATAACAATGTTATATCCATTTATTGCAAAAATCAAGCAAAATTCATTAATATGACCTTCAAAGTCAATGATCAATTTTGTCTAATTAAAGATCTTGTCCAAAGAATTGTTGTGTCCAACTATAAAGACAATCCATATATAAATAACAAAGTTATAGCAAAATCAAGCAAAATTCAAATACTTGGCCTTGAAAGTCAGTCATTTATGAATCAAGGTCAAAGTCAGTCTGGTCTACTTGAAGGTCTTGTCCGACGAGTTGTTTTGTCCAAGTGTGAAAAACCCAACAGTAGCAATAGCTCGAAATTTTGTCCTTGTAAAAGTCGAACTAAAGAAAAAACTAGCTAAATTATAAAAATGTAGCACCACCTGTTTTAAAAATTGAATGCTAGTTACCTTTCAGAGATATTTCTAGAAATTTCCATGGCTCACATGGAGCATTAATTAGTTTTGCATTGTAAAATATAAAATTAAACACAATTATGGCAAAATGGCAAGTTATTTTGAGATTAACCTGTGCCCTTATTATTATCACCTGGATGGGCATGTCACTTTCAAGTGACATTCGAGTTTCCTGTTTGACCTCACAATGTATAACTTAACCTACATCAACTTAACAAGTTCATCTATATCAACTTTCCCCTCTGATAAATAGCCTTAGCGTCCATTGCATAAAAGGTGTAAAATGAACAAATAAAATCGAACTGGTAATTTTTTCATCTTTATCAATAATTTTTATGTAATTAGAAAATAAATAAACAAATAAATTTGTCACAAAAAATGTGTGAAATTTAAATAAAATAACATAAAACAATTAATTCTTAAAATAGTACATTTTGTAGTATCTTCTTACTTTGAATTTTACAACAACTTTTCACATAAGATTAACATAACGAAATTTCATAAATGTAAATATCTGAAACATAAGTTTACAAAACAGAAAACTTGTCAATTAATAACTTGTACTACATTCACCAATATACACCTGCACACTATATATTTATCTAATACAATGTAGTATGATAAATCTGGTACAGAGGGGATCCCTCGGAAGTGATGAAAACAATACAAAATTACATGAAAATGGCAGACCCAAATTGATTGAGTCTGTTCATTAGGGATAATGGAAAAGTGCAGCATCCCTTCCCCCACCCCCCTCCCTAGAAGCTTCGGCTAAATCGGTACTTAATCTTCAACACATTATTTATGTGCTGGGATCAATTATCCCTAGGGACCACAAAAATAAAGGTATACTAAGCCTTTAAATACAAACACATTTTATATGCCACTTAACATAGTCTCTGTACATGTATAAATAAATCATAAACAAACAACATAGTGTAACTTCTAAAATAATGTGTGACCTATCATTTATATGCTCATAAAAAATCTCTTTTCCTTAAACCTTTCTAGTAGAATTACTATGAACATAAATTCTAAACATCATGATATCACTGACTGGTTGGGTTATAAATCATACTGATACATTTAATGTCATATGGCCAATTTCTAGTGTTACTGTCACAGGAAGATCTTAAATACCCTTCTGAGCATTAATTCATGCAGACTAGCTGGATAGCTTCTTCAAATGAAACAATACAAAGTCTGTGAAAGAACATTAACCAACGGAGGTTATGGGCACATTGTTCAAAGTCATAGACCTTTACTTCTCAGTCACGAAGGTCTGTCAAAATGCCATGACATACCAAATACTCATACATGCATAAAAAAAGGTCCTTGAATATATACATAAAAATAATTTTTTTATGGCATGACTAATTTCAACCTAAATAAATAAAGTTCTAATTCATTTCAATAATGGAACTATATACAGTAATCTAACTGGTATTATACAGAGATCTGCCAAGAATTTAAAAGTGCTGGGCCCTGGGTCCACTTGGTCTAAAAATGATGGGCCATTTTGTACAAAGAATGGGCCATGGGAAAATAATTAAACTTTGACCAAAACGATTTTTCTAATCATCAGTGTGTGGTAACCGTAAATGGTGGGACCATTATTAACAAGAGCCGGTTGAACCGGGTGATGCTCCCCGAATAGGTTTTGGACACAGGAAGGTATACCTCTTGTTGTGTCAGAGTTATGTCACAGACAAAGTTCAAAGTGTAAAAACAACCCAAATATTGTGCACGACACATTGTCTAAATATGGTGATCATTTTTGTGAAATAGTTGTAAAATCCGATTTCAAATAACAAAGTTATGCGCCTGACATTATTTTGCTGCAAGGTCATGCTGTGACCTTGACATTCAAGGTAGTGACCTAAATGTTGCATGCGACACGTCGATTCAATATGGTGATCATCTCTGTGAAATAGTTGTTAAATCCGACTTCCAGTAACAAAGTTATGGGCCGGACACGATTTTGCTGCAAGGTCATACCGTGACCTTGACCTTCAAGGTAGCGACCCAAATGTTGCGCGCGACACAATGTCTCATTGTGGTGATCATTTCTGTGATCTGTAAAATCCGACTTTAAATAATGAAGTTATGTGCCGGACACAATTTTGCTTCAAGGTCATGCTGTGACCTTGACCTTCAAGGTAGCGAGCCAAATGTTGCGCATGACACGACATTTTAATATGGTGATCATTTCTGTGAAATAGTTTAAAAATCTGACTTCAAATAAGGAAGTTATGGGCCAGACACGATTTTGCTGCAAGGACATGCTGTGACCTTGACCTTCAAGGTAGCGACTTAAATGTTGTGCATGACACGTCATCTTAATATGATGATCATTTCTGTGAAATACTTTTTAAATCTAACTTCAAATAGGGAAGTTATGGGCCGGACACGATTTTGCTGCAAGGTCATGCTGTGACCTTGACCTTCAAGGAAGCGACCCACATGTTGCGCGCGACACATCGTCTCAATATGGTGATCATTTCTGTGGAATATTTTTTAAATCCGACTTCAAATAATGAAGTTATGGACCGGACACGATTTTGCTGCAAGGTCATGCTGTGACCTTGACCTTCAAGGTAGCGACCCAAATGTTGCGTGCGACATGTCGTCTCAATATGGTGATCATTTCTGTGAAATATTTTTAAAATCCAACTTCAAATAACAAAGTTATAGCCCGGACACGATTTTACTGCAAGGTCATGCTGTGACCTTGACCTTCAAGGTAGCGACCCAAATGTTGTGTGCGACATGTCGTCTCAATATGGTGATCATTTCTGTGAAATATTTTTAAAATCCAACTTCAAATAATGAAGTTATGGACCGGACACGATTTTGCTGCAAGGTCATGCTGTGACCTTGATCTTCAAGGTAGCGACCCAAATGTTGTGCGCGACACGTCGTCTCAATATGGTGATCATTTCTGTGAAATATTTTTAAAATCCTACTTCAAATAACAAAGTTATAGACCGGACATGATTTTGCTGCAAGGTCATGCTGTGACCTTGACCTTCAAGGTAGCTACCCAAATGTTGCGCGCGACATGGCGTCTCAATATGGTGATCATTTCTGTGAAATATTTTTAAAATCTGACTTCAAATAATGAAGTTATAAACCGGACACGATTTTGCTGCAAGGTCATGCTGTGACCTTGACCTTCAAGGTAGCGACCCAAATGTTGCGCGCGACACGTCGTCTCAATATGGTGATCATTTCTGTGAAATATTTTTAAAATCCGACTTCAAATAACAAAGTTATGGGCCGGACATGAATTCGGGACGTACATACGGACTGAAGGACTGACGGACGGACGGATGGACAACCCGACGACTATATGCTCCCCCGAAATTTTTCGGGGAGCATAAAAATGTTCTCTTATCAATTATTTGCACTTCGAGTACATACTACAACAACAGTGACAAACTTGATTTTTTTGTTTCAATTTACAAATACAGAAGACTCAAAAGACATTTAAATATTGTGAATGCTTTAAATTAAATGACAACAAACATTTACTACACATTTCATTTCATAACAATCGAAACATTTATCAGCTTATCAATAGCAAATTTACAGAGAGGAGGTGTTAAAAAATTGTTTTTTCCAATTAAGTGTAATTTTAATGCCACTGCTTGAATTAAAAAATTGTTATTATTTTTCTCACAACTGATTTGACGCCATGTTATTGTACAGAGCGTTTTGCGACATCAGTATAAAACCTGTTGCTGTTTGTACCGGTTTTGACTTGATGACTAATTAACCTAATGAACAGGTTTTGTTTTCGTGCTGATACAAGTTCGGCACAGATTTAGACACACCACTGTCCAATGGCCATTTGCTTCCAATTTTTCTGCGCCCTTTTCATGTTATTAGTGCCAATGGCACAAAATTGCATCCTCAGAAGATCACTGGCATATATGATAAATTTGAATATAGTTTTTATACACTATCCCCGGATTAAAAATTGAAACTTTCCCTCCAACAATTACTATGCATGTACTCATATAAAAAAATAAATAATATGATCATACAAAAAATATGATAAAGGTTAAATAAATAACATAAATAACTCTTTAACTATTTAAATAATGAAACATGAACAGGTGAAAAATAATGGACAACCTGAAAAAGATTTACCACAGTGGGTTATACAAACATTTTCTGCTGAAAGCCATATTTTTAATAACTGAAAACTAAACAGACTTAAAACAGACATCACATGGTTAGATGCTTAATTTTGTTATTAAAATCAATAAATATAATTAAATAAAAGATTATCAGGTCAAAAATTCTAGAAATCTCAGGTCTCAAATATGAGAAAAAAAATTGTCTGGGCACATATTTATATAAAAATCTAATATTTGAGCCACGTCACGACAAAACCAACATTATGGGTTTGCGACCAGCATGGATCCAGACCAGCCTGCGCATCCGCGCAGTCTGATCAGGATCCATGCTGTTCGCTCACAAACCCTATAGCAAGAAGAGAAACTGATAGCGAACAGCATGTATCCTGGTCAGACTGCACGGATGCGCAGGCAGGTCTGGATCCATGCTGGTCGCAAACCCATTCATTGTGTTGGTTTTGTCGTGACGCTGCTCATTTTAGCATGTGATTATAACATGTAGCTGTATCACTTTGCCTAGAAGTGAGTTTTAAGTTCATATATAATTTTGTCAAAGGATTTAGTGGAAAGATTTTGTGGTATAAAACAAACGTCCTAACTTAAGTCAACAAAAGCGGCAAAACATTGTTTTTAATCCCTCCTGACAAGAGTTATGTACTCATCCCAACAAGAGGAGCAAATGATTATTAACAAGCTTTTTAGTTATGTCTCAATGGATTCTGAGAAAATGTGTAGCAAACACTAAACCATGGATTGATACTGACATGGACACTGACATCAACTCTTAATCCCCCAAGACAGCTCTCTCTCTCTATATATATACATGTATATTTACATAAAATCGAGCTAAAAATGACCCTATGTCACCTTACTTACAGTATCTCATGAAACAACAAAATTTACAATACATTTTCCAGTTGAGATACAACTTTTATGCATTTTGCCCCAAATCTCATCAAACAGAACACCAAATTTGTCAGCATTCTTTAAGTAGTTTATGTCCATCACATTGGAAAGCTTAATCAGATCAGAATGTTGTTAAGGCAACCATTAACTGAATACAACAAGCATTAGAATTTCTCTGTGGGACTGTCCCCTGATCCTTTATCTCTATGTTGATCTATTACTTTCACATCAATGCTTGATAAGTCTTGCAGCTTCTCCCGGGCTCGTTGTTCATATTCTAACTCTTTTTCTTCCTAGAACAAAAGATATATATAACAGTTTGATAGTAAATTAATACTACATTGAATCATTCAGGCAATTAAAACTGCATACTATTAAAGATCCTGTAACACAATTTTTTTATGGTTTTAAATCATAAATATGATGCTCAAATTAAGATTTATCAATATTGTAGGTTCCAAAAAGCATTATTTATAAAGATATTACCGAATTTAACATTTCATGTAAATAAAGGGAGGTAATAAAAAAATTATTTTCTATAAAGTTTAAGTCAAATTTTACAATAAGAAATGAATGCATATATTTTAATGATACACATAATATGCACAAATATTTGCAGTACATATTTTACATATTCTTCGATGTTTGAAAATTGTTTTATTTGCATAATTATGTACATATATATAATTTCACTTAGTGTGGTTTACCACTTTGATTACAACATACAGGATCTTTAAAAAGTAAGCTCAATCATTAACCAAAAAGTAGCATATTGCTGCAAAGTCCTTCTACTAATTAAAATCACTAATATATCAGCCCAATAATAAATAAAAGCATAGGTCTAATTCCCTCTAAATCTTTACATGAAATATCATTTCAGAATATCTAATATTCATATGGTTCCTTGAACTTACATCTTGAGCTAGAAAGTTAAATAAGTCTGAATTCTAAAATTTTTCCTTTTTCCCAAAACATTACAATGATTTATTTTATGAGAAAAGTTTATGCTTAATACTGTTTATTAAGCAACCCTTGAATCCATGCTTATTTTTACTATAACACATGTTACAAAAAAGTGAAGTATCAAGTTTCAATATTTTAGCTGATGAAGAGGGTAACATCATTTTAAATCTTATGATGCTTAATTTCTAAGGCAAAGCTAAAACTTGCTCCAGCTATGTTTTGTTTTGTTTTGGGTTTTACGTCACATCGACACAGTATAGGTCATATCGCGACGTTCCAACTTTACTGGTGGAGGAAGACCTCAGGTGCCCTTCCGTGCATTATTTCAGGCACGAATGGGTACCTGAGTAGAACCACCGACGTTCCGTAAGCTAGCTGGATAGCTTCCTCACATGAAATTCAGCTATGTAATACTAAACATTTTGAAAGCAAAATGGTTACCTCGGATTTTAATCTGTAAAACTCATCTATAGCAGACTGGTATTTTGGAGTTGTAATTCCAAAGAACCAAGCTAATTTTTCACCACAGGAATCTGCCACTGAAATATAAAAAAGAATAATTTCATCAACTATTTATTTCACCAGGAAATTTATGAATAAATTATATATGTTTATATCAGTGTAATAAAGAAAAGGAAAGTTTCATTATATGACCATTAGAGGTATTATTTTCATGCGGGGCATAGCCTCAAACATAAATTGTTTACTTGCTAGTTTTCAAAATATAAATTGTGGTTTTCTATGCAAAACAAACAAACTTTCTGTTTCATAACTTTTGAATGAAAATACATTTTGCCGCTAAATATCATGCCGTCATGAATGTATAGTATATAAGAAATCAAAACATTAACGTGTTTGTAACAAAATGTCACACTACCTCCAAGTGTTTTGAATGCTGCTGTGGAAATGTAAAACCAGAACCATGGCCCCCATGTCAGTGTTTTCTAAAAACAAATAATCAAAGAACATCATAATAATACAAGTAAACAATAACAAAACAAGTTCTTTTAAGAAGAGCTGAGGTAGAGTAAGTGGTTCATATTTTTGCCTCTTAACCAACAAATCATGGTTTAGATCCAGTTCAAAAAATCTTTCTTCACAACCAAGCTTAAATGAATCACTAATAATGTTTAAACTAACTTACAGGGTCAACAGGTGGGGGTGGGGGAGGTGCTTCATCTTCCTCATCAGTGGAATATTCCTCCAATACCCCATCACTAAAATGAATCAGTCTTCTTGGAACTTTTTTCCTCTTCGGCTGATCAGGGTCTAGTGGAACATTTGTGAAGTCTGAACTTACTGGCTGCAATATTAAAGTTTTGAAGTCCCAATTTGATTAAAAAAATCATTTCTATGTGGCAGTATTACATGGTCCAAAAAAAAAAGGAGTAATCATTGATGAATTGATTGTATTCATAATAAGTGACAGATATTTCTCACCACCACTGGTAAGCAGGCTCTCCATAGTCAATTCACACTATTAAAGACTTTTCACTCATCAATTTCATACCAAAAATAAAAATTTAAAATATACTCTGTTCTTATGATATCGTAGATTTTATGATATCATTGCATTTACATTTTCTGTGACTGCTGCTGCAAGTGAAAGCAAGACATGTTGATGATACTTTTCTTAAAATTGTGACACTACATTGTAAATCGCATAGCATCAGCCAATAAATTTAATTTTGTGAATAAAATACATTCCTTGTAAGAAAACTATTTTCTAAAATCTTCATAATTGACTTCTATTTCTGTTAATTGTTTTTGCACAGTCAATTGAAATATGTTATTATCAAATATCCTGGCATATTGACTGATCATAAGGCTTGAATTTTATAGTAAGGTAGCTGTTGGAAGATTTTCACAACATAATTTGAAGATTATGACACATGTATCCTTCCTGTCAGGGCTCACGCTGTCGGTCGCCATAGTCGCCATTTGCGATTATTTTATAAGATTGGCGATTATTTTTGCATTTTGGCTACAAAATCTGGCGATTATTTTTTACTTCCAACAGTGTTTATATAAGGTGTAAAAATCGATAAAGAATGCAGTAGACCCAATTAACACCAGCGGGGTGGATTTAATTGAGTGCCAACTTTTTATCGGTCACGTGCCGCTTACCATATTGCCCGAGGTGATAAAAATACATGCGAGATGTAAAATTGTATAAGTACTTAAAAGATATTGTCCAGCATTTAAATAGCCATCAAATATCCGTCAATTAGCCAAAAAGATCGTCTTAAAATTGATAAAGTGGATATTGACCAACCCAAAATTTACCGTAAATTGCAGTAATGGCAAATTTTGATTTTTTTTGTTTTAAGCTGCTTGACTAAATCGCCAGTGGAAAACAATGATAAAATATTTAAAAAGTATTTATTTTTAAACAACTTTTTGGAAGTTCCATACAAGCATTTTTTGGGATTACCGTGATACCGCAGTAACCTCCTCTGAAATCACCAAAATTGGCAGACAACGGAAATAGTTTAAAACAAGATTGCATTTGAGAAAAATGCTATGCCACCGCATGTTTCAAATTTCATAGCTGTACATCAAAGGACAAGAAAGTAGGTCACATCATCAAAATCTAGGTCAAAGTTCAATTTTACAACTAAAACTGTGCACATGGTCAAAATGTCATTGCTGTCATTGCTGTACATCAAAGGACAAGAAAGTAGGTCAAGGCATAATTTTGACCCAAGGGTTTAATAACAATCTTGATACAGGTCCACCAAACAACATTTCAAGTCAAATACATTGTATCTAAGCTATAGCTTTCTCCCATTCAGAAAACATTTGTTTTATTTTCTGTTTTTACTACGTGAACATAATGAGAATCACTGCCCCCGGGCCCCGGGCAGGGCCAATTTTTGACATTTGAACAACTTTGGTAGAGGACCTATAGATGATATTATATATCAAACATCAAAGCTCTATGCCTTGAACCTTCAGACAAAATTTTTTTTTTCACTATATGTACATAATGAAAATCAATGACCCCCGGGGCGGAACCAATTTTGACCCCAGGGCTATAATTTGAACAATCTTGCTAGAGGTCCACTACACAATGTTTCATGCAAAATATCTTAACTCTATCCTTTGTAAATTTAGAGAAGACAAGAGGCAACATTTGAACAACTTTGGTAGAGTACTATTAGATGATATTATTTAACAAATATTAAAGCTCTAAGCCTTGTACCTTCAGACAATAAGATTTTTTTATTTTTTACTATATGTATATATTGTAATCAATGACCCCCAGGGCGGGGGCAATTTTGACCCCAGGACTATAGTTTGAACAATCTTGCTAGAGGTTTACAACACAATGTTTCATGCAAAATATCTAACCTGTAGCATTTGTCAATTGCTAGAAGAATTTTTTTCAAGTTTTTACTATATACATATAAGGAAAACCAATGACCCCTGGGGCATGGCTGATTTTGACCCCAGGGCTATAATTACACAATCTGGGTAGAGGTCTACCAGACAATGCCTTATGCAAAATATCTAAGCTCTAGACCTTTTGGGTCTTTACAAGAAGGTGTTTTAAGTTTTTACTATATGTACATATAGCGAAAATCAATGACCCGGGGCGGGGCCGATTTTGACCCAAGGGCTATAATTTGAACAATCTTGGTAAGGGTCTACCAGATGATGCCTTATGCAAAATATCTAAGCTCTAGGCCTTTTGGGTTTTTACAAGAAGGTATTTTAAGTTTTTACTATATGTACATAGTGAAAATCAATGACCCCCCGGGGCGGCGCCAATTTTGACCCCAGGGCTATAATTTGAACAATCTTGTTAGAGGTCTACTAGACAATGCCTTATGCAAAATATCTAAGCTCTAGGCCTTTTGGGTCTTTACAAGAAGATTTTTTTAATTTATTCTTATAATTCCTTTTGGTTGCCATGGCAACCAGATTTCTATATGGAATGAAATTCTTTGAACAACTTTGGAAGCCCTTCACCCAAGGAACAATCCTGCCAAGTTTGGTTGAAATTGGACTAGTGGTTTTTCACAAGAAGATTTTTTAAGTTCACTATATAATCTATATAACACACACACAAACACACACACAAACACACACACACACAGGTGAATCGCTATATGCCACCGCATCGCAGATGCTGCGGTGGCATAAAAAGACATTTAAATATCCTGGTTGTACTATCTACCGGGAATGTAACCCTTATTAGGTCCACCATCATATAATACAGAAAAATCTAGAATAAAATAGTTATTTTCTGTAGAAGGTACCATTTTTTGATAAAAATAACAATCATCCAAAAGAAATTTTAACTATACATCAAAAAGATAGTTCTGTTAATAGCGAGCTCGACGAGCTGGCCCACAGGGCCTGCTCGCAAAGCGAGCTTTACAGTAACGCGAGTACCTGCTAAGTGATGGTTTTGAAAACTTTCGTCCGAAGTACCGAATTGAACACATCGGAACTTTTCGAATTTAAAGACAACGATAAAAACTGAGGAATTCTGACTGAAAACAGATGTGTAGACTAATCACCCGCGCACGTCTATGGGAACCATAATTGGACAGGGAACCAGAATAACGGAAGCTGTGTATAAAATATCGAATGACAGTTTTAAAACGGAAAATGAACAATTTTTTGTCGAATTTTGTTGTGAAAACTATCTAGAATGAAAGAAAATAGTCTAACTAAGAAAATGAATCCGAACACCAATATCTTTTATTCAGTCGTTAACGCTGTACAGACGTTTAAAGTATTGTTTATGTGACGTCACAATGTAGCGCCAAACAGCATGTGCAAAACAATCAAATCAAGTACGCTATTTTAATGTCGCAAACGTTTTAAATTTACATTTATTTCACTTTTAATAATCTTTATTTTGCTTGAAAAATTATAGAGTGAAATAAAATAAACAAACAAAGTTTTATCAACGTTTTCAAAACTCGTTATTCATTTAACGACAGGGGCGGAGCCATATTTAAGACAGTATGTGTGACGTCACACACACTCGTCACTGCATTTGAAATAAAAATGAGCGATTATTTCATACTATTTCACGTTAAAAGTACATCGAGCTCGCTTTGAGGCTTTGCCTTTTTCATATTAACCTTATATGAGTGGCAGCCATCTTTGTTTTAAAGTACTTAATACCAGGAATGACTTTTAAGCAATCAATAAAAAGTTAAAAACATATGTAAATGGTCCATTACTGTTAATGATACTAAAGTTCTATTCAATATTTATCAGTTATCACACAGTAAAAGGGTAACAATTTGATAAGCATTTGCATACACATTCAAAATATCATGTTCAGTCCAAATCGTTAGCTATATTACTGGTTTTTAAACGTAAAACACATTTATGTGAATAGGGTTACTAAAACTTTGAATTTTCTTGAAAAAATGCTATGTTTTGTATGAAAATTAATGTGAAAAAACTTGTATACAAAAGAAATTTTTGGCAATCTCCTGGATTAGACCTATATGTATTTTTCAAAAATAAAACTTGTATATAATACACTAAAGAAAATGGAATGAACCTTATATATACTCCTGGTTTAGACCCCCGGGTTTAATCCAGGATATAGCCAAATTTTTTATGTAAGTATTGTTTGTAATATCTGGACATTCCCGGTACAAAGTACTGGTCAGGGACCATCAACCGGACACTTTTTGAACATTTTTCTATACAAATTTCATAATTTTAAAGCTAAAGGTACGAAAATTTGACACAGTACAGCTAGGTTCTTCTCCTAACTAACAAACTAGTTTGTTTAGTTCTGATAATGTTGACTCTTATATCCGAGGCCCGTCAAGGAGGGTATCAAAATTACCTAAATTGTACATACTACAGTACCATGTGTCCGGACAGATATGTAATAATGTTGATTTAATTCAGATAAAAGCTTTGGTGTTCTTTTTTTTATTTTTAACATGACACACAATATTTCAGCAGCAAATGCTGAAGTTTTGGATATTCTATTGTTTACTTTGCAAATAATTATTGCTGTTATATGAGGTCAGGCATTGCTTTCTTGCCCCCCAAATTTCAACGTCAACAATCTTGAAATAGACATTAAAATATTACCATTTACGGAGGTTGAAATAAATTTATTTACTTAATTATAGAAGAAACATGCATTTATTGTTGATAAAAAAGTGACTGACAACCACAGAAAAAAGAAAATTCTAAATCAAGCATTTTCGGGGCCGTCCGGGTTTGGTGGTTGTCCGGTTTTGGTGGTCCCCAACCAGTACCTCCTGGTATAAAGTGCCTTGAGGATTAGTCCAAATATTTAGACGTAACCGCGGATTTGAAGCTATTTTTTTACATGGGTCAAATCCGCTTTAACGTCTAAAGATATATATTTAAAAATCCATAGCAAAATGAAAAACAATAAACATGCACAATCATTCAAACTTCCCATGTAAAATGTTACTAATAATCATAATCCTACCACAAATGTGTATTTTCCTTATCAAAATTAACTTATTCAAATTTTAAACAATTTAAAAAAATCCTGTGTAAAAATTGTGTAAACAGCCTCCATATTGTGTGTACTACGCAATGCGGTGATTACTGGAACCAAATTTTTTAGACAAATTTTTACTGCGTGCACCTGTCAGCGTCTAAAATCACAACAGAAAAAGTTTCGTTCAGACTAATTTCGTACTATTGTTTTTTGAGTGACGTCACAGCATGACCGGGAATTTCCAATATGGGGGTCAACACAAAATATATTTCATGTGTCTTCTTAAATATATGGATAAATAAACTACTTATTGTGAGTAATTTTTGCAAATTTTTACAGTTTTTGGGAATATATGCTTCCGTCTTTTATGCAATCAATTGCTTTTTGTGATAAATAGCATTTAAGTTGTGATTTACCGGTAAATTCAAATCGACTCTAGAAGCGTGTCGATTTGTGCTATGGGAAATTAGCCAGTTATTGAAAGACTTCGCATTTTCCGATTAACGTCAAACTGTAAAAAAAAGAAAATGCGATGTCTTTCAATGAAGGACTACTTGAGGATAGGATCTTCAGAAATAAATTTTTGACAGAAAACTGTCACTTATTAAATAGAAGAAAAATCTCATTTATGTATGATTTTTACATTCAAATATTTTCTGATAAACATTAAGTTCCCTGATATCTTAGAACCCTGGGCTACTTGTGATAAATTTGTGTTCACCATTTTATTTTTGGAATACAAGTATTAGTATTAGTTTTAACTTATCCAGAATGCTGTTTATGTTAGAATATCCCAGGGTCTATTCCAGGATATAGCTTAAAGTAGATCAATGAACTACTGTCTGAATGAAAAAACGGAGTCCCTATAAACACTGATAAACACCTAAAGAACGCCCAAAAAGTGAAAAGGATAATATCTAAAAAATTTATATCCTGGGGAGATCTAGGAAAAATAGACGAGCGACATTTATGACTTATGTGCATACAAATAATTTCAATGAAAGTTTCAACAATATTCTTTGCTAACCTGCGCTGAATAACTCGAAATTTCATTTTCTGTATTCATTTTCGTCATATTTTTGGACTTCCGGAAACAATGATTAGAGGAGCTTGATTAAAATAACTAACTAGTTTTACGAACATGTTCTAGCATTCACTAATCGAGTAGACTAAGCTGTTCATGTATATAAAAATTGTATCTGAAAATAAATCAGATGAACAAAAGAAAATACAACAAGCAGATTATATAAAGATTTATATGACATGCAGGACACAGGCGGCAGTATCAGTGTTTGGACACCCCACCCCTATCTGCCCCTGGACCCCTAAGTACTAATTGTAACCCTGAAAAAAATTCAACACTCTAAGGCTTACTGTAAGGTACCAAATACAAAACCACCGATGAAATTATATAAAAAAAAAATTTTCCACTATCAAAATTATAGTTATATAAGTCTATAACTATAATTTTGATAGTGGAAATTTTTTTTTATATAATTTCATCGGTGGTTTTGTATTTGGTACCTTATAGTAAGCCTTAGAGTGTTGAATTTTTTTCAGGGTTGTAGTAGGGGTCCAGGGGCAGATAGGGGTGGGGTGTCCAAACACTGATACTGCCGCCTGTGATGCAGGACTGATCATTAAGCTACTAATTTCTTAGTTCTACCTTTCATATGATGTTCCGGTCACAAATTTAGTTAGATAATAATGGGTTTTCAAAGTTGTCCAAAATTTTTAAATAATGTCCCCCTATCTGCCCGGGAGCTAGAAAGAAGTAAAGCAATAATGACCTTAACTAACAACAAAGACATGGTCACTATAAAACTAGTGATTGGAGGATAAGGAATCATTAACAAACACTTTCTTAATATATTCTCAGTACTGAGTATGCCCAAATATTTCAAAATGCATCCATAAATGTTGACCGGACATAACAATCATACCATCATATCAAGACTTTTAACATTCAATTGTGATCTTGCTAAACCGGATCTTGTTCATTACATGTCAAACAGAGTTCCCTATCTAAACTTTTTGACCACAATAAGATGTGCATCTGTTGATTTGGCTGTTTTGACACTCCCTGACCACATGTACTAGTCATTATCATCGATTAACCGTTTTAAAATTTTCCATTTTGAAAAGTTCCTTAATTACCAATAACTGAACTCATATGATGCAGTTGCAAGCAACAACCCATTCGTTTTGTTTTTGTTTGTTGTTGTTTTTTTTCCCGACAACTTCGTACAAAGAGTTACTGAAGCCGCCCGAGGATTCTGGTTGGCAATTTAACAGGTGAAATGTAGTGAGTGCGAATACTAATATATACGTTGACCTATTTATTAACATAATTAAATGCAACCAAATAACAATTACGGTTGTATAATGAATTATTTCTATAAAAAAACACATTTTTATGATTTGATTTTTCTACTCTAAATTTAATTAGTATTCAACACGTACATTATATTTAACTATTTAATAAAGCTCTTAAATAACCTGAGTGAGGCTGACCGCCGTTTCAGAGGGTGCATGACACTTTCACCCTAACTTGAACAAAATCTTCCATAATAATTTGTAGTCCTATAAATACAACGTAACTTTGAGATATCTTTACTAAAGTCTTGGCATCATAAACTAAGACACGCACGTATAACGTCTCGGAGTTGGACTATCTTAATTGTTAATTTATTTTATAGGCATATATACATGTAGTAGATTTCAGATAAAAACTTAAACATGATCGTGATGTAACGTGATGTAGTTTTTCATTTATAATAATGGATTTCGAGATATAGAGGCGAGAAGAAAGTTAATATATAATAATTACTAATATTTTAATATATCGTCGCTTAACTCATAAAATCTCTTAAATACATGTACTAAATTGATGTCTTGAGAAAAATGACTTTCAACGGTTGAATGTATCACAAATAATTAAAGGCAAGTTTTCACATGTCCATAGTGTGTCACTGAGTGATAAAAAAGTGTTTTTTTTTAATTTGTTAATACGGAAAAAAGCTATCAAGAAAGAATGGGCTTGTGCAGAGAGCAAAAATAATAGTAGAATATTTATTGTTATTTAAAGTGCGTTTTTTGAGATAGAGCAAACTTATTTTACAATATTGAATTTTATTGGTAAAACTTTTCGTGAGTTTTAACTGGTGTTAAAATTTGATCCAGTTTTTAACTCTTATATGTCATTGTTATAACTGATCGACTTCAGATTACCATTAGAGCATAGAAAATTCTACTTAACATGGTCACATGCATATTATGTGGTGCATAAAATGCATAAAATGCATACATTTAAGTGTTGCTTTCTTGATTCTTACAATCCACTCAAATTACAAAAAAAAGAGTTCAAAATATGCAAAAATAGTCCTTACTGCGTTAGTAACGCAGTAAACATATGGTGACAAATAGTGCAAAATCAGTCATTAATTGCACATAAGAAGTAAATTTTTACTTGAATATTGAATCTTTTTTACTTTTCTTGCAGTCTTAGTATATTTTCCCCCAAGTTTGTTTGTCTTAAAATATTTTGGCTCATCTGGAGGCATGCAGCTTTAAACTGTCTAGAATACATGTATACACGTATTTCCGGTATGCTCGAACCATTAAATTAATACCGGCGGTGATTTAGGCTGAGTACGGTGGCTTTACCGATGGTGCTTAATTAATATGCTTAGAATCTAGAGAATAGACTGGCACACTTTGATAGTGATAGGATAACCAAATAAATATTTGATCAATATCTGGAAAAAGTGATACAGGTCTAGTAAGCATTTAAATCAGCAAATTTACTTGAAAAGACTAGTGCAGACTCGGTTTGATTGAATCTGTACATGAGGGATACTGAAATAGTGCAACATCCAGCACGCGCCCTAGCACGGGGCTTGAGCGGTACTCAATTTTCAACACTTAAAAATTCTGGAATCAATGATCCCGAAGAACCAGAAAAATATAACAAATATAGGTTTACGAGTACAGTATATTTGGGGAAAAAACAAGTCAAAAAGAAATATATATAAATGTATACATATATACTATAACAAATATATTGAAAATAGTTCTTATTTTCCCCCTTTAAGTATAGTGTCAAATTACCGGTATGATACTGAACGAGTATACTAAACTTGAAGCGAAAGCTATGATGTTTTCTGAGACAACAAAGTTAATCACGCCGGCAAAAAATCTAAGCCAAGAAAGGGACAGATTAGTTTGAAAAAATTAAGATGTTTTAGATTTTCTTCCCTTTTGACATAGCATTACATCATGAAAGAATTTTGTCCAAAAAAGTTACAGGACAAAATCTTAATAGAATAGTTGTTATTGTTTATGGTGTTCTATAATTTATTTAGAAGGCCGCATTTAAAATTAAGATATGTTATATGTATTATAGTGAATAAGTATACCAAGTTTGAAGTGAACAGTTTTAACAGTTTTGAGAAAATAGAGCTTAACAAATAGATTAACAAGTATGGTAGATTCATTGCAATAATTCCACATTTCTCCGACAAAAAACGGAGCTAAAAAAGATAATTCACCACTGATTTGAACAGATAAAATATCATAATTGTCTTTTTGTAACACTGACGAATTGGATTATTTTAGTACATTTATTTACTATTTTAGTAACATTGTTTCGTTAAGATAATATTTAGAAGAATTTTTCCCCGGTTGTTTTCGTTAACTAGACTACTTCCAATGACTAAGAAAGTAATATAATCTTTGAAGTAAGCTCTTCTCATTATTGTTGTCAGCGTCGGTATTGTCCTGACCATCTAAGATACGCTTAGCAGTAGGGTCCGCTTTTCTCCAACCATCACGAAGCTGTTGACTAAGCTCTGAAACAAGACTTGGATACGCAGACGCTGCAATGTTGAAATTTTCATCACTGTCATTAATGTGGTCGTACAGCTCGACTCCAGAAACTTGATTCCAATTTGGTTCGTTAATTGTACTGTATCTGAACGCAACCCATTCCGTATAACGATATTGTTCCGTGCGCATCGTGTACCCCATGATCCGCCCACTTCCTGGATATGGGCTAGGTGTTTGAGAGAATGCCGCCTTCTTTATAGGTGTGTCAGGGTTGTCAATCAATGGCATCAGACTTTCCCCTTCATGACAAAGCGCTTCATTTTCAGAGTTTTCGGGACACTGTGGAATTGTACCAAGACCTGCTGCTTCAGCTAAGGTTGGGAACAAGTCTACGAACTCGACCAACTGTTCTGTAACTATTCCATTTTCAGTCTTTCCAGGAACTCGTATCATCATCGGCGCGTGCGTGGAGAGCTCAAAATTTGTTCTTTTCCCCCATTCGCCATGCTCGCCTAACTGGTAGCCGTGGTCACCAACAAGCGATATTATTGTATCATCTAAAAGTTGTTGTGCTTCCAGTTCATCATAAATCTTTCCAACAAGTGTGTCAATGTACGAGACGGTGGCATAATATGCTCGTCTTAAATCTTTGACAACACCGTCAGGCAAAACCGTATCAATGTCGCCTGTAGGATTGAAAACCTCTATATCCTGAAACGTTCTTAATCCAGAATATGTACTCCAAGCCACTTCGGGCATTTGATCAGGCGCTTGGTCATTGTCCGGCAAGCTTATAGAATCTGCCGAATAGTTTGAGAGAAATGATTCTGGAAAAACAAATGGTTCGTGTGGTTTGTGGAACCCAACAGCGAGAAAGAAATTTTCATCTGAAGCTGCCAATTCTCGAATTCTGTCAATAGCTTCATCTGCTACCTGCATATCTCTCAGAGGTCGAGAGACAAGATCAGTGTCAGGCACAGCATCCCAGCTTTTTTGCCTATTTTCAAAGTTAGCTGTACCGTGGAAATATGGGTCCGACCAAGATAAAGGATCGTCATTTCCGGAATCTGCACCAGGGTGGAAAATTTTGCCCATTCCAATAGAGCGATAACCGTTGTCTTTGAAATGCTGAGGTATAGTCGTGAAGTTCCCTCCGACATCCCGGAAATATGAACTCAAATCATAGACATGTGTAGTGTCCGGACGCCTGCCAGTTAAAAGTGAGGATCTACTGGGAGAACACACCGCTTGTTGAACATAGGCTCGCTTGAAGAGTATACTTTCGCCGGCAATCTTGTCAATATTAGGAGTTATCATTGGTGGAGAAACGGACGATGGAAAATGTTCTCCTGCATAAGCATTGAGCTGTGGTCTTAAATCGTCTATCATCAAAAACAAAACATTCTTACTGGCTAAACATAATCCAAAACCACATACAAATATAATGCTTTTAAAAAACGCGTTGATAATCATGATCTTCTATTTCCAAAACTATATCTTTCTGTTTTAAAAGCTAGGAAAGTAATGAAACAGCCTGATCACACGTGTTGTTATAATAGCTTAATTTATAGGTAAATAAATATACGGATGGTAAATTGACTGTAAACACTTTTCGAATCAGAAGATTTAAATAATGATAAATGTATATGGGGTTAATGGGTTAGAAGCAGGTACACTGTTGAACTTTAAATACAATTTTATCATACAAATCAAGTTTTTTGTCGATTATAGGCATACGCCTGAGCAAAGTCGGGGTATCGCAATGCCCAATGTCTCCACAAAAATTTATTTTAGTTCGATTTAGTTGCTATGAGCTTCTTGAAACACTCTCGAATCCGTTCCATACAACTTGAACCACGTAGAGATCGAGTTAATTCGATTGCTTGTTCAGAAGCATTTATATAAGTCATCTAAATAATTATACAAAAGCACTTTTATAGCGCAAAAATAAATATTCAAATAAAAAACATTACAAGGCATTAATTTTGCTATTTCAGCTAATTCAGTATGATAATAAATCGAATTTACCTTTTCAATTAATGTCCGATAACGAGAGGGGAAAAAGGCGACAAAATCGTAATTAAAATCTTAAAAGAATACTTCACATTATAGAAAGAAAATTTTCATGTAGGCGCTTAACTCTTAAACCTTGTTTGATAATTGTGCTATTTTTTGACTTTGGGGCCCTTTCATTTGGGTTTAATAAAAATATTTCCTAAGAGTTTTCTTTTGTAACTGCTCCTCTGGAACAAATTATTTCACAGCCCTGATTAGTCCCAAATTTCATGAAAGGAAATTGTACCCGCGGAATGTTATACTATAATTCGGTTATCGTTGTCACAGCCACTGATTGAATTACCTGTCCTGACTCTAGTGGCAAAAGCTAATCACCTTCTGCTCCATCAGGTTAATGATTTTATTTTTCATTTTTATATTTTTCTTTTTCAATACAGAAAGATTGTTTCACATATTATGCTTGTTATCGCAGATCTAAATCAACTTGTCACAATAATTGAGCAATCGTGGGACCATGACGGAGCAGTAGTTTATCATAGAAATTAGCTTCGATATTTATAGTTCATAATAACAACTAAAGGTAATTTAAAGTTTTTCTCTCCTACATTACGATTGTTAATGTACACAAATTGTTGGTTAGTAATGAAATTAAATCTATGACGTAAATCAAACTATTTTATCAAAACTATCTTAATTAGAGCTATATCACTAAATGTGATTCATACCCCACTAGCAACCATAACTTATAAAACAAAATAAGTGGTGTAAAGCAAAAATTGTTCTCAACCTATAATTCATTATGTTTCATCTGTGTTCTAATAACTATTAACATTAATAACCTATCTTTCAGAAACTATTTTTTCTATTTTAGTAACATGACCTTTACCCAACATGTCAAAAAGCAATCCCAGCCAGGGTATTAATATAAGCTTGCTATATACCAAGTTTGATTACAATATCTCATTTCTAACCTTTTTATTGCCTGAAAACCATTTTTTCTATTTTAAGTAACAGTGACCCTGACCCCAGAAGGTCCAAATGGAATCCCAACCAGGGTCTTCATATAAGCTTGCTATACACAAAGTTTGATTACAATATCTCATTTCTAACTCTTAATTGTCTAAAAACAATGAAGTGGACAGACAGACATCAACCAAGACAAGCAAACTCCTAAACACCTGCTGGCCTTCAAGTGTGACCTTGGGTGTCGTGACCCACAATTATTGCGCTCTGCAAGTGATCACTTACGCAGTTATTTAAAAAAAAATATCAGTGATTTAAGTTATGGAGTAAAAAAAAATATCAGTGATTTAAGTTATGGAGGGGACACAAAAGTGATAGGGTTGGATACTATTAGACAGAAAGACAGAGGCCATTCCTATAATTCCCTCCCCGGTTTGCAAAAAGGGATTATTAAATTTTAAAACCTTTGAATTGTCAATAAATTATAGAGGGGACATGAAATTTTTTTTAACATAGGACCTTTGAGTGTGACCTTGACCTTGAGGGTTATGACTTGCTTGTTGTGCTCTGCATATGGTGTCATAATGGTGATCATTTCTGCAACATTGTCAGCAGTTTCAATGTTATGGAGAAATGTAGACTTTTCAACACGTGACCTTTAAGTGTGACTTGGACCCTGGGGGTAAATACCAAATTATTACACTTTGCACATTGTCTCATAATGGTGTTCACTTGTGCCAAGTTATTTCAAAAAATTTTCAGAGGTTTAAAAGTTATGGAGTGGACACAAAATGTAGACTTTTAACACTTGACCTTCAAGTGTGACCTTGACCTGGGGAGTAGCAACCCAATTATTGCAATCTGCACATCTCTCATAATGGTGATCACTTGTGCCATGTTATATAAAAAAAATTCAGTGGTTTAAAAGTTATGGAACAGACACAAGTGTTAAGGACAGGCAGACGGAGGCCATACCTATAAATCCCCTCCCCACTTTGCGGAAGGGGATCAAAAATTTAGTGAAAGGGAAATCTCCGAGAGTATTTCATGTTTCTAGTCAAATTTTGTCTTCTATTCAAATTTTGTTATTTCCCGTCTTTCTCCTGTGGAGAATTTGCAAGCATGTTTTCCCTATTCTTCTGAATCTCAGGCCACTCTTGTGTCACTGTCCCCAGCTTTCGGGAATTTATAAGTAGTTTGAAAATCCAGATCAAAGTCCTTGCTATTGCCATCAATGAAGTGCCCACAATGAAGTGGCACGGTAAGTTACAAATGACCAATCCACAAAAATAAAATTGTGATTCAATACATATAAAACTTTATTAATAAACTTGTTTGAATGTTAAATTTATTCTGTTTTCTGAACATTCATTTCACATATTACATGTAAAATCAAAAATTGAAGAAAGTTTTTATCAACTGTTCCATTTTTTCACTCTGATCTAGGTTTAAATACTGGAGGTACTGGTGGATCAAAGTATGTGTCTGAAAAAGGAAAAAATAATACATTAAATTTGAGAAAAATGTACTCAAGAGTTTAAGAACAGAATAGAATAGTTATTTTGACTTAAGTACTAGTATATAAAGCTTATTATCAATCAAATGTACTAAGATTTCAAGAACAGTACAGAATATTTATTTTGCCATAAGTATATAAAGCTTGATTGATGAAAATATAATTCATTCAATTGCATGCAAATGAAAATGACAAAATAAGTTGTAAGTTGCAAAGAAGGAAAAACATATTATATTCAGTAAATATCAAATGAAATTGGCAAATATATATTACACACAAGTCAACATTTGATATTATTAAAACTTCAAGATTAATGTGATTGTTTCTTATTTTAGAGCCCTTGAGATAAAAATTGACAGTCTACACACTATTTTGTGATAATTACAATCTATCAGTGCAATAAACTTAAACATATTAGGATGATTTCTGTAGTACTGTAGGACAGGACAGTAAAAAGATCCACATAAAAAGTAATAGCTGGCATAAAATGAACGATTAAGGACTGATTTTGCAGTATTTATCATCATATTTCTACCGCATGACTCAAGGAAAGGGCTATTTTGCATATTTCAACCCATTTTTGGTAATTTATGTGGATTGTTAGTGCCTTTTGCAATGTCTGAATCACTTCCTTTGTTCACTTCCCAATATTTTACTTCTGAACTTAAAATACTCAAAATCTCTACAAAGGATGTGAAGTTATAGCCAACACAATATATTAAAGGGACTCCACAGAGGTTTTTTGGCTCGAAGAGACTGAAAATATCCCCCCCCCCCCCCCAAAGATTTACCATTTGTGTAGTCTAGACCAATAACTTGGGAGCAAATTTTCAGATAATTCCCCTTCCCTGTTTCCAAAATAATTTTTTTCCCCAGCAAAATGACCCAAATATGGAGTGTTGCAATGCTTTTCACTCAAATCAGGCTACACATGTAGGAATTGCTAAAAAAATTGATATTCAATTTAATCTTGAAAATTTTTATTATTCTCTGCAGATTTTTCCATTTTAAGCACTTCACATGCCCTAAGTAAGAATTTCAAATCTCATATTTTTAGGCTTTTTGACGTTAGTGGTGCTCCTTTAAATATTCAATCAGGTATGAATAATTATGCATAAAGGGTATCTGTTTAGTGTTATTATTTAATGCATCTCAAATATACATGATAAAGGAATATAACTGCAGTAATTTAACTAATACAGCATTGCTTTATCAGAAATAAAGAAAGTTATTTATAATTCAGTACTTACGTTCATAACCTTTTCTCCTCTCTGCCCATAGTTCCTTGTTACCTTTTGATCTCACTGAAAATTATAAAAAAATGTACTTCATGATTTAAGTGAAATGCAATTGCAAAGTACCTATTTCACAGCTTCAGGAAAAAAACTTAGTTTATGTTATATCTATAAAAAAATGTAAGTTATAGAATCATCTATGTATTTCTTCCCAATAACTGACAAAAATACATTTAAAGGCTGCATATTTTGACTAGTAATCAGTAATTTTTGTGAAGAGCAAAGTGGTGCAATTTACAATAATAACTTTATTTTCATTAAAATTAAGATTAACCCAAAGTTCAAGTTGTGCTGTCTTTGAATAAAAGTTAATAAAACACAGCATAAATACTAGTTTTTAGTAAACTTACATGAAATCTGTACTCTGTAAAACACAGGTGCCATGAAAGCTACTCCATAAAATAACACACGAAATGCTTTGCTATTAGTGAAATGAAATTTCCATGGAAACTGCCAAAGTTTGTGGCCAAAATTGTATGGATATGGATATGGCTTCAACTGACCTGAAATATTATAAAAAAAAATTCAGAAAATGAAACAACTTAAATGAAACTGTACCTGACTTGGCAAAAGAACAAAGATTTACTATACAACTTACAACACCTTAACTTTGGATCAGTGTTCTCTCAGCAGACTAAAATTTAGCAAAAATTTAGAAACGTTTTTAACTTTTTCAAAATTAAAATTTTTGTCATTTTTTTAAAAAATTGACCTTTTGGTTTTAAAATTGTTTTAAGCCCTTTTAGGTTTAAAAAATTGGTTTGTAAATTTTTTTTTTTTGGGATTTTTTAACCAAAAACCTTTTATTTTTGTTAACCCCCCCTTTTTTGTAAAGGAAAAATTTAAAAAGAAAAAAATTTAAAAACAAAGCAATATTAAAAGAAACCAATTTTTCCAGGTTTTAATTGATTTAAAATTAAAAAACTAAAAAAGGTTTTAACAAAAATTTTTTTCTATTTTTTTTAACCCCCCTGTAAACCAAAAAAAGTTTTCATTTTCAAGATTGTTTTCTTTGGTTAAAAAAAAGTTTTTTTAAAAAAGCCAAAAATTACAAAAAAAAAGACCAAAAAAAAGGGCCCTTTCCTTTTTGGGAAAACCAAATTTTTTTGGAAATTGAACAATTTTAGCCAAAAATTTAAAACCAAAAAAAGTTTTAAAAGGTTTTTTTCCTTTATTTTTTGCGCCAGTGGTTTTTAAAAAAAACCCTTAAAAGTTTCTTTTTAACCCCGGGGGGAAAACCCATAATTTCGAACTTGCTAAAATCATCAAAACAAACTTTGAGACCAATTTCCAGGATATTTGGAGCAATTACCTAGACAAGCATCCTGACCAAGTTTAATGAAGATTGGGTCAACAGGGTGTTTTAACTGGAGGGTCAAAATTTGTTAAAATCATGGGGATTATGCCTTGTAGTCGGTAAAACTTAGTCAAAATGACCCCAGGATTTTTGGCTAGTGAACCCCCCTGGTCAAAAATGTCCCACAGTGTTCAAATTTTTTTCTATTTTTGTCCTGTACTAGTTTTCACCCGAGTGACCATGTTCAAAACTCATACAGCATTACCTGAAAAGCACCCCCGACAAATTTTGATGATGATTGAGGCAAAAATGTGACCGCTAGAGTGTTAATGAACAAGTGTGGACGGACAACAGACGACGGACATTCAACGATCCTAAAAGCTCACCCTGAGCTAGCTCAGGTGAGCTAAACAATCAAACTTGTCTTAAGCTGCAGATTTTAGTGTTCCTAAAAAAAAAGCAAATTCACATTGAATATCTGTAAATTTATGGATTAAAAAATCTTTAAATTTCTAGACTTTGTCTTTCTATGAATTTACGGAGAGTCCACAGGCCTTTTTCCCCCTATCCAACGGGTACAAATATGGGCCCAGGGAATTCCCCAGGATTTTTTTAAGCGCTACATTTTTTTAATTAGACGGGGGTGGGTGCAGGTGGGGGTCTTGACCCCCCATACCGCGTGCCGAAAATTTTTGCCATTTTAGGTGTCAAGATACTGCTGTGGGCTGTTTTAAAACAAATAATGAAAGCTTTTCACTTGATAAACATTTTCTTAATTTTTGTTATTTACTTTTTCCATTTCCAACAATTCAAATAAATAAACAGTTATATATAAACACAAGTTAACAACACGTGATCAACATTTTTATGTATGTGTGTGTCCCATTTAAATGAGTATATTTCAGTTGTTTTTTCTTCATTAACATCATTAAAATTGGGCCTGTCTTCTAGGTTTGTTGTCCTTCCATGCCTTGACTGCCTTCTCAAAGTTGAAAGATTCTAATGGGGGTCCTTGAAGGGAGACGGCAAGAACTGTTTAGAACTTTAACAGAGAGACAATTCCTGTTTTCAGTCTTAACTCTCTTCAGGCAGCTGAATCCTCGCTCACAATCTGAAATTAATAAATGAAAGTAATCATTTATGTTAACCTGATGTCTTTTATTTATATTGTTTGTTTGCTGTGAATATTTAAAATTTAAAACTTCCAGCCTGTTTAAACTTAACTAAGTAAAAAATTTATATTTGAAATGTTGAAAAACTTCTAGCAAAGTGTTACACATCTGCAACTGTCATTGGAATTGCATAATGTTCAAGAATGAATGAATTTAATAATAATTACCTGCAGTAGTGGTTGGAGGGAGGAGACCACAGCAGCAATTCTGTAAAGAGCTGGATGACTGGTAGAAAGTTTGCCAGTAATCCAGGTCAAGGTCTGGTCGGCTGACTGATCAGTCCCCTCTAGACTGGCACGTCTGGTGGCCAGTGGCTGCTGGCACTGCTCCATATCTACACCAAAGTGCCTGGCCAGCTTCCTGTATGTCCTGACAAACCAATGCTTAGCCTAAGGGGTAGGACAGTAGAATTGCAACTTCACAAAGCTGTCCATGAACAGGCTCGATTAAGGAGGGGCCTGCAAAAACTAATATTTTTTTTCATTTTGGGGATTCAGTGAACAAGAGACAGATTACAAGATATTTTTAATTAAAAAAGAAAATGACCAATTGGCTGTCACAAAGGGGGATTGTTGATGTAAAGTTTTGTTTTTTGTTTTCATTCCTTTTTCGATTCCTAATTCGGGCCAAAAATTCCAAAAAAAAAAGGTTTTAATCGTGTACCCCTACTACAAAAACCTTAGAGCAACGTCAAAAAAAGTAAAAGATGAATTTGAACATCACTTATATAAAGACAATTAACCCTTTACCCAAATATCAAACTGTTATATGCATGTCAATAAATGCCTTTTATATTATCAAAACAATAAAGTTTTACACCTACTTGAAATGAAATATCAAACATCCCGCGGTTAAAATTTTCACCCATTCAATACCGAAATTTTAAAACAAACCTGGGCGTAACAGTTTCTGCAAATAAATGACAGGTGTCTGTGCGTCACACGTCAAAAGGCAATCAGTGTATCGGGTTGTGTTAGCCTTGGGGAAATTTTTGGGGAAGTGTTTTTTGGTTTTGGGTTAATTTATAGACACGAATAGAAAAGGAATATCGGTCATTTTTAAAGCGCTATGATAATTTTAAGCGCATCGGGATTTCTTGTTCTGAAAATTTTCTAAAAGCGCCTGGGGAATTCCCTGGGCCCCATTCCCATCCAAATTATGTTTTTTTTCCCAATCCAAAAAAAAATATTCCCAATCTTGAAGTTGGCATTTTGAAAAGAAAAAGTACCGCATTTTCACTTTTGGTGCCCGCGAAAAGCGTTACAGAATATATTCATGTTTTGTGAATAAAAACAGGATTTTTAATTTGGTATCAGTTTTACAATTTGTTCACATTTAGCCTGTCCTTGTACTTTTTGATATGTTGAGAGAAAAAGCTGAACAGTTTAAGTAAGATTTATTTAGATTTATTTTAACAATTTGAACACTTGAAATGCTAGCATATTTTCCATAATTTGCAAATTTTACGGTAAGCTTTTTTCCCAAATTGGAAAATTTTTACAACACAAATTTCCGAAATTTGCCAAACGTGGCATTTTCCCAAAATAGAGGAAAAAAGGCGTGGTCCATAAATACCATGAAATCCTAGACCTGTCTAATGCCCAGGTCACAATAAAACAGCCTGCCATCCGATTTAAAAATTTTTACAACATTGGCGGAACCGACGATTTCGCGAATGCCTGTGCACGAATCTTCCAGGTACTGGGTGATACTTTGTTCGCCAACTGATTTTTTTTGGGCGCCAAACAATGTGGCTGAGCCCAACCCTGGTGCCTTTTAAATTGGAAGGTGCTTTTGTATAAAAAACAATCCTTCGATCCAAAAAACATCGCTCTAGCGATCCCCGCCAGATTACTTTTTCAACTCTCTGATCCCAAAAATTTTCATCAGACCGGAACGCCGTTAGCTTTTTGTAGTAGTACTTAAAACTTGACAGCACCCACCCGATGACAGAAAAATTTCAGCTGCTGCCATCCGATTATCCTGGGCCGCACAACTTTGGCCAAAGTTACAAATTTTTTTGAGAATAACACTGCCGGCAGCCTTTGCATTTGTGACTTTGGGCATAACAAAAACCCTAAAATAATAGTGTTTTTTGAGAAAAAAAAATAGGGAAAACAAAAATGTTAACAAAAAATAGCTGTGGCAAAAAGTTACCCGTTTTTTTAAAGGGACAAATCGAAAAATTTTTAAATTGTGTGCTAGGTAAAACAGAAAACTTGATGTTTATTCGAGTCTAAAAAATTTAAAAAAAAAATTTGCAGTGTTTTTCCCGGCCCCCAAAGTTTCAAAATGCAAACGAGAGCTTGAATTTTTAAGGTGGGCAAAATTTTACACCCCTTCAATTAACCCCCCTTTTGAAAAACTTTTGAAAGAATTTTTTCAATCCCTTTTTTTTTAATTTTGTGTATTTTTTTATGGTTTTATTCCTTTTGCAAAAAGTTTTTTTTACCCCAGGGCCTTTTTAAAATAGGTCACAATTAAAATTTGAAACGAATTTTAATTTAAAAATTAAGAAAAATTGTGAAAACTAAGGCTAAATAGGAAAATTTCGGTTCGACTAATTTGTCTGGGTTTATGTTTAAAATTATAAATAAGAATTTTGAGAATGAACTCCCGAATGAAACTTTTAAAAGTGACAGATTTTCTAGAAAAAAGAAAGGAAAGAAAAAATTTACTGGGCCCGTGTCCTCAGTGTTGCGCCCGGGGGTCCAAAACCTTTATTTTTAAAAAATGGGAAAAAAAAAACAATAAATTTCATAATTTGCAAAATTTGCATTACAAAGTTACGTTTACCCCTACCATTTGGGTCATAAATGATACTTGCTCCCATTTTCATGCCGATGTGTTTCGGCAACGAAAGGTTGGGATTCGAAGGTTGAAGTCCGCTTGATTTATATTTTACTTTGTAAAGGTTAATCGAACACTTTACTTTCGGCAGTCTGCTGTAAATCAGCTATTTTATTAATTATTCTATTTTTTTTTTTATTTTTTTTATTTAGCAACAACATAGATCAGAGTTTACATAATAAGATATATATATATATAAATAAATATCATATAAAATAA